TTCCCTACTCGCCTGAGCATCTGGTCCACTCCATGCGTACATCAAGGGACATGAAACCTCATGTATCGATCTCCATTAATGCCTCACTAACTGAAGCTAGTCATGTTTCTGGATCTGCATCTGCCCTTCTCATTGGAGGATTTTCTCTATCAGGAATGGGCAAGGTATTTTTTAAGTTTTTTTTTTCATGTCTGCTTTTCCGGAATTGTTCATCTGCCTGTTAAGATTATGCTATATAATGTGAGTTTTGACTCATGAATATTTTGCAGCTGAATCTAACTCCAGATGCCAACAAGACCATCATATCGATTCTGGGGAATACCGGTAAAAACAGCATACCAAACTTTGCTTTGTTGATTCTTAACCCTTATTCTAGAAATACAAAGCGGATGATCCCTGATCTTGGATTGTTAATTTAAATATCTGAATGATCTTTTGCCATTGCAGAAGTTGAAATTCACTGGCATAACAAGAATAAGTTATCAATCAGCTTGATTAACAGAGAAGAATTTGGCATAGGAGGGCGTGCACATTATGAGGTAAATACTCATCTGAAACCCTGCTCTTTAGCTGATTTACCTGTCGAACTTGAATCCCGTTGTTATATCCAAACTTTTTTTGGATAGATGGTTTGAAAAGCCTGGATTTTGCAAGAAGGTGGCATTTCAGTGACTGACTTAATGGTGTTCCTTCATTTTGACATTATTGATTATCCAATCTTCTCAGGTTAAGGTGTTAAGATCGGAGAGATTCACTGATAGAATTAGCATCACACTTCCTGCAACTGGTAAGCCTTTTTTTTTTACCGTAAATTCTTTCTCTTTGTTCCTCCTGACTCTACACACACACACACACACACACGTATATGATATAAACATATTTGTTAATTGCAAGAGCAGTTTAGTAGATGCTTTGTTGCATAGTTGTAGAAATCTGTCTTCTCCTGTGGTGGTTGCAGGCCAGAGTGTTGAAATGGATGTCTCCTATGACACGGGAGAAGTGCCATCCTCTTCTAATAAAAAGGATGGAAATGCACTTATGCTGAAACTCCTCGGAAGCATTCTCGTGCTGATAATAACGGTGTTTATCCTCATGAGAGTGATCGATAAACCCTTCATCACATCTAGATCTGGTCCACTTGTCCCGTCCACAGCCACGGCCACGGCTACTGCAAACACGGCAGGGCCAGCGACTCCAGAACGCAGGAATCCAGCGATTGTGTATCACGAGCAATCTCCCAGAACTCCGTCGCCGTTTGTGGAGTACGTGAGAAGGACCATTGATGAAACTCCAAACTACAGAAGAGATGGAAGGAGGAGGTTCAATCCTCAGAACACTTTGTAGACTTCCAACAAAAGATTGTTGTTGTTAATGTAGATGTAGTAAAGAGCTTTGAGGATATTTATGGTATATCATACATCAAATCATGTAAATGGGCCTTGAATTGGGCCTTTTTTATGGATTATAATGGGCTGAAAATCGTATGCGGGTTTCTATTCGGTGTTTGATGAACTACCTCTATTAATGGGTTATTACATAACGATTTAAACATATGGTATAATATATGAACAATTTCTAAAATAAAGGGATTTAATTTAATTGCCATTACCGAATACCTAGAAAATATCAGGCAGGCGAGATAATTTAAACGGCTGAGATTTATCCATTAGGAAACTAAAATGTGAGATCTGCCGTCCATCATCATTTGACATAACATGCGAGCTACAATCCAGTGCAACCGAGAGTAGCGTAAGGCATTTTAATTTATCCGTCGGTCCCCGAGGGTTTTAGGGCTCAGTTACTGGTATTCTTCGACATTAGGGCTTCTCCTCCTCCAATCGAAGCTCTGTCGCAGGGAGGTTCGGATTTGGCTATCATGGAATCGTACGGAACAGAGTCGGTTCGTGAAGATGAGACTAACGACGTTAGACCCTCCGACCACGTTGGGGATGAGGACGAGAAATCTCAGCCTCACGGCGGTGGCGGCGTCGATAGCCCCGGGTAACTTTCTCTTTCGTTTCTTGTGTTTTCCCGGGAAATTTTGAGGTGGAGGAGGTGAGGAGCCTCTGGTATCGTTATTCGACTCTGTTTTCTTTGGTTTGAGTTGAAGAAGGTTTAGAAAAAAGCTAGATTTGTTTGGATGTGGAGAAGAAGATCGGGATATTTCGTTTCATTTGCTTAATTCTGTGAAAATTAGTTCATTCTATATGTTTCCGTAGAAATAATTGAGATAGAATAGAAAAGTTCAAGCCTTGATTCGCTTCTCTTACTGCTGTGCGGAATTAGCTAAGTGTGTTTTCTTTTTATGTTTGTTTCCAGAGAAAATCGTAGTGGAAAAGGATGCGTTTAGATTTGTTCTCCAGTTCTGTTATTTAGTGGATAGTACTTATACAATGTTTGTGGAATTTGTAGAAAGATATTTGTTGGAGGTTTAGCCAGGGAGACAACTTCAGGTTAGCTCTTGTGTCTGCTTGATGTTAGATACTAAGTGTTGCCCTTGTGTTGTGTAAAGTTCAATATTTTAATTGGGTTTTGATTGTTCATGTAGCCGAATTCGTCAAGCATTTTGGGAAATACGGAGAAATCACAGATTCTGTGATTATGAAGGACCGTAAAACCGGGCAGCCCCGTGGATTCGGGTTTGTGACATATGCTGATTCCTCTGTGGTTGATAAAGTCATCCAGGACACTCATATTATAAATGGGAAACAGGTTGGTTTTCTTACTTAAGCAGAGAGGTATGTGGTTTTGATGTAGTAGAGTGAAGTTTGTGATTGTGTTTTTCGTCAGGTTGAGATAAAAAGAACGATACCTAGAGGATCTATGAGTTCAAATGATATCAAGACCAAGAAGATTTTCGTGGGCGGGATTCCTTCTTCTGTAGATGATGGTAGAATGCTTTAAGCTTTTATCTGATACCATTGTTATGACCTGATTCTCCAGGAATGTTCTTTACCGTGTCTTCTGATGTTACTCATCTGCTCGTCTGGATTTGTTAGATGAATTCAAGGAATTCTTTATGCAATATGGAGAGGTGAAAGAACACCAGATTATGCGTGACCACATGTCTGGAAGATCACGTGGTTTTGGATTTGTTACGTACGAAAATGAAGATGTGGTTGATGATCTCTTGGCAAAAGGGAACAGAATTGAGTTCGCCGGGGCTCAGGTATAACTTGGACAACTTCGTTTTTCATCGAGTTTAGTAGCTTGTAATTTGGAATGACTTCTTTAACATTCTGTATATGCCTCATCAAAAGCTGCAAAGATGCACTGAGATATATATTGTGTATGGATCTGGAAAATCTCTCGTTATTGTGTGCTGATTGTGTAAAATTTTCGGGTGAAATTATGATACAGGTAGAGATAAAAAAGGCAGAGCCAAAGAAACAGAACCCAGTTCCACCACCATCAAAGAGGTTCAGTGACACGAGGTCTAACTATGGTGGTGGGGGATATGGAGAAGGGTATGGCGGTGGTGGATACGGAGGAGGAGGAGGAGCTGGTGGTCCATACAAAGCAGGCGGTGGATATGGAGGTGGCCGCTCAGGCGGTTATGGAGGAGGGTACCCGGGAGGGGAATACGGAGGAGGGTATGGCGGATACGGTGGAGGTGTTGGACCTTACAGAGGAGAACCATCCCTTGGATACTCCTCCGGCCGTTACGGAGGAGTAAGTGGATATAACCGAGGAGGCGGTTACGGAATGGGCGGTGGGTATGGTGGACCCAGTGACATGTATGGCGCCCCCTATGGTGGAGGCCCGGGAGGCGGGTACGGTGGCCCGGGTGGCAGTTATGGAGGGTATGGTGGAGGAGGAGGAGGAGGCTACAGAGGAGGAGGAGGCCATGAGATGGGCGGTGGAGGAGGAGGATACGGCAGTGGATACGGCGGTGGTGGAGGCTCGGTCTACGGAGGAAGTAGAGGCGGCTATGGAGGCGGAAGCGGCCGGTATCATCCGTACGGAAGGTAGAAAGTGTTCGAGGCTGCCTCTTCCGTGACACGGCCCGAAATGTCTGAAAAAAAAGGGTAAGTCTTAAGTTGGAAGATTTATTTGATTGTGACAATGTAATTTTTGAACGTACGATTAGGTTCATATTCCGATCTAGGTTGTAGACTTTGAAATGAAAAACTAAAAAAATCTGCACATTCTTTTGATTAGAACACGCTTTTAGAGAGTTAAGTAACTTTCAAATGATGTTGTCGGCTCTGTTCCTTCTGCTCCTGTCCATCCCCATTGTCACGTAACAGGTTAATGTAAATGCAAAGAGCCGAGAACAGCAGTCAAATGGTTGACCAAAAAAGTCAAGAATATGGGCCAAATGGGTATCTAGGCCCAATCAAATATGAATAAGCCTCTGATACAACCCGAGGGATCGTGACAGCCACAAAAAGGGGGCAAAAAAATATCCAGTGGCAATAATCGCCTATGCTCTCTCCTGCGTTCATTCACCAAAAATATACTCCGACGATTTTACCTGGAATTTTGGAATTTCTCCCGGGAAAATTTTGCCAGTATAGCCGTCTCTATCTCGATCGATCGAATTTAAGGATCCTGGAATCTGAATTGTGGTAATGATGGCGTCTCTTGCGTCCAATCTCATCTGCTGCAGAAAGGTACTTGCTGGTTCTGGCGGTGAATTTATGAGCTCTTTATTTTCGAAATTGATTTAGAAAAAAAAACGATGATGGTTTCAGGTGGAGAGATGGCAGATAGTATGCAGGAAAAAGGAGAGAGGAAGAGATCATCATCATCAGAGCAATCACCCTTACAAAGTCATCGAAATCACTCCTCCTCCCAAATGCCTCGGCGTCCGCTGCCTTCCTCATGTGAGTTTCTTCTTCTCCTTTGGGTTTGCGATCTCTCTTCCACTTTTCCGGCAAACTGCTTAATCTTGTGTGTGGGAATCACTACGGTCTCGGAATGACTGAAATTCTTTTACTTCTATTCGTGAATTTGAATTATGAGTGACCCCTCATGAGTCATGACGCATTTGTTTGGAAATCATAACCGGATTAGACCATTACCGGTACCGGTTATTCATCGGTTAGTAGCACGGTTAACACCCAAGAGTTGCCGGGATCATGCATGACATTTCAATCCCAGCATTTATACCATGAAACATACATTTGACGCAGAACCTTCAGTGCGGGGAAAACGTGATGATAGAAGGGCAGACGTACACGATCTCGGCAGTGACGCACCGTTACAAACTGCGTAAAGGCAAATACGAGCCGAGCGAGAAGCGTCTCGACGTCCTCTCCGCCGGCAGATACGTTTTGAATCTCTATCTTGACAACTTGCTCCAGAAATCTTGACCCTCCTTTTATTTTTTTATCCCTTGTTGCTTGTTAATAATAGTACTGGTAGTGTTGTAATTGCTACCCCAACTAGTATTCATGGCTAGGGTCGCATTTTGTTTATTAACCGAATAGTCGAAACCAACGGAATCCGATATAAAAACTGACATATTATGATTTCTAAAACCGAATACGAACATAATCGAACCAAATAAAAAAAGATATAAAAAAATGAGTTTTTTACTGATAAAAATCGAACCGAGTCGATCCAAATCAGTCCGAAGTTAATATAAAAACAAGTGGTTATAGGTTTTTTATAACTGAAATAACCAAATCCGAATATATTCGAACCGAAAACTGAAATCCGAGATGGTAACCCTAATCATTGCCTTATCCTTGCAAACTTTTTTGTACTTTTCCTTTGGGAAAGTTTCATAATTTTATGTCTGCTTGACCCCAATATGACGCCCCTTTTCTTCTACTAGTGAATTTGATAGATACTCCCAAGTCTTTATATGTCGGGCTTACGTTACTAACTATAAACGCCGAGCGAATGTTTTTCAACCGGATAAAAGAATGACGCCTCCATGTTTAATGGTTTATAGGCTCTAATATATGCATTTAAAATTAATCTAAAACGAAAATCTTGTTGAAAATAAAATCCATTCCTTTGAGAGAAAAAAAATATAAAAAAAAAACGAATGAGTGAGGTTTTAAATTACTGGATTGGGCTGCTACATAACTCAATTGTTGACACGTGTCCACATCATATGGTTTCGTTAAATCTTTTCTGTACCGTTGGATCAACATACCATTAACAATATTATATCGTGTTTAATCCGTAACCAATTACTATAGTTCAAGCTTGAACGGTCAAACCATAAAATCAATCATCAATAAATGAAAACATCCATCAATCGTGTCGTCCCATGGATTACAATTACATCTGTTCGGACCCCTTTGAAGAAAGTCGTTCTGCGTCCATGTATCCATTATGGACCCATTTGTCCCGTAGCTCTTTATATAATAATATATATCCCCACGGGAAATATATATATATATATATATATATGTGGCTTTGGTACGAGCCACATATTTATGAAAGGACTCATTTACCCCTGGGGAAAAGGATGCGTAGGATAATAAAATGCGCCGAGGAGGACAGCCGTCCACGTGCTGTTGCCGCTCTTCACGTGCGTCCATGTGAGTGTTAGGCTTTGGGGCGCGCCTCTCTCCCGTCGTAAACTACCGTTCCCGCTCTTTAAGTTAATGGTATTATCGGTGTAAGCAGTTAATTAATTAATTAATTACTCTGTTAAATCTAATAAGCCAATACGTATAAAAATGTATAAATAGCTAATGATTGTATATTTAATGATGCAGAGACAAAAAAATCCATTTGAGAGATTGAAGAAAATGTTTATTTAATATTTTAATTGATCATAATCTCAGTACAAGTAATCTGGACTGCATAGGCAGAAGAAAGGGTTTCGTGATTTAAATAATGCCATAAAATCCACCCAAAAAATTGCATTGGGACATTAATCGTCCACTGATTCATTGCATTATTTCATTGAATGTATATTAATGTACGCACGGTACGGTTTTTTTTAAAAATACTGTAAGTAATGAAAATGGATAAGTTTTGTTTTTCCTATGTATGATAGTGTGATCTGAACCATAAGTTTTGAGTTGGAGATTTTAATAAACTAATAAAAAAAGAAATCTAAGAAACTATTCTTATGAAAATTTTTAGGAAACCCCTAAAATAATTTGAAAAAAAAAACCCTACAGATGTCAATTATTGGCCAAAATTACTACATTTGTCGACACATTTGCGTTATAAATATATAAAACTATATAACTACAGACAATATTTCATGAATATTCCAAATAAATCATTTTCACCTAAAGAGAAATGTCCACTCCTTTATAATCACATTTCTCATGCAAGGACGTGGGATTCGGCGGATATGCCCGGCATTTTACATTACTTGTCTCTGTACATGTGTGTGTGTATATATATATATATATGTATAATCCACTAATTAGTAATTAGTGGTTAAAAGCGGCTTAATTAGCTTTAAGCCTTTTTACAGCAAGAACAAGAACCGGGAAAAGGCAGAGGAAACAAGAAGCATTGCTTTTGAGGGGAACATCACAAGATCGAGAGGAGAGAAAAAGCTGCTCGAGCTTTCCCCATAAAACGACGAACAGATTTGCATAATTCTCTCCGCTCTTTTTTTTTTCCTTCCTTTTTCTTTTTTTGTTGCTGCTTGCTTCGTTCGCATCCACCTGAAGAGAGAGAGAGAGAGAGAGAGAGAGAGAGAGGGAGATTAAGCGGCATTTTTTTTTTTTATTGATTGCTCTTTTCTCTCGAGGAGATCGGATCGGATCTGGAAAAACTCGTCGAAAGCTGCGTTTTCAGTCACTGTGAGAGAATTTTCTTGAACGGATGACGGGCTGTCTATGATCAGGTTTCGATTTCTTCCCTTACTTCAGTCTTTCTTCTCAGTTCTGTTTCCGCAATCTTTCACGGGTTTTTGCGTGTTTTTGTTCGGCTTCTTCTGATTGGCCGCCGAGAAAATGTCGCGGGAAAACGAGGGGAAGGTGAAGTCTTTCTTTCCAAGCGGCCGTTTTCTTCCACCTCCACTTTCCTGCATTTTCTCGGCACCCAAACGGGTCACTTGGGGTTGTTCACGGATTAAGCAAGCAAACCCAGAGTCGTTGGTTTGAGTTAGACGAATCCTTTTTTCATTTCCGTAATCTTTGGTGATTTCTTTGATTGCAGAATTTGATACTTACAATCACCTGTGTACACAAATGGAGTCGTTGGTTTGATTGCAGAAAAAAAAATTTCAAATTGTATTCTTTAATCTTTTCTCAGGAATTTAGTCGAACACCTTCAATGGAATCACCAGCCAATAGAATCAGTTCTTCCTCCAAGACGGCGAACCCTCCAAGCGGCTCCAAAGGTTCTACTTCAAGCAAGTCCATAGACGGAGCCACCGAGAAACCCGAGTCCGTACGGATGTCGAGCGAGAAACAGGAATCGCCATTGACGACAGAAGCTTCTGATTCGCCTGTCTCGTCGAAATCTCGGAACCCTGTCTCGATTAAGGAGACGAAGAACCGATCAGAGCCGAGGTTTTGTCCAAGCCCTTCGAACACGTTCTACACGGCGACTCTCTACACAGAGGCCAAGCAGAGCTTCACGACCACCGAAGCGAGCGACTGCGCGAGCACGAGCACGGTCGACAAACGCGGCTTTGGTGGCGAAACCGCTAGCGACGGCTTCTGCGACTTCGAGAAGGCGAGTGCCATATACAGAGGAAGCACGGGGAGTGACGTCAGCGACGAGAGCAGCTCCAGCGGTCTGAGCAACGCGGCCCACAAGCCGCACAGAGCCAACAACGACAAACGCTGGGAAGCGATCCAGGCCGTGAGATCGCGTGTCGGGTCGCTCGACGCCAAGGACTTCAGGCTCATGAAGCGGCTCGGTGGCGGCGACATCGGTAGCGTTTACTTGGCCGAGCTTATCGGGACGCGAACGTGTTTCGCCATGAAGGTTATGGACAAAGCCGCCATTGCAGCGAGGAAGAAACTTCTTAGGGCTCAGACAGAGAGAGAAATACTGCAGTCGCTGGATCACCCGTTCTTGCCGACTTTGTACGCACATTTCGAAACAGAGAAGCTTACTTGTCTGGTCATGGAGTTTTGTCCTGGCGGTGATCTGCATTCTCTTAGGCAGAAACAGCCCGGGAAGTACTTCCCCGAGCACGCGGCGAGGTAATTGCCGGTTCTCGTGCTTACGTTTGCGTTTTGGTCGATGGTTATTATGCTGAGATATATCGCGATTGCGTTTTGCAGGTTTTACGTGGCGGAAGTTCTTCTTGCCATGGAGTATCTTCATATGCTGGGGATCATATACAGAGATCTCAAGCCGGAGAATGTTCTTGTCCGAGAAGACGGGCACATAATGCTGTCTGATTTCGACCTCTCCTTGAGATGCGCGGTCTGTCCAACGCTGGTCCGGTCATCAAACCCAACTCTTGACTCCAAGAGCTCGAGCTACTGTATCCAGCCAGCCTGCGTCGAGCCGCCGAGCTGTGCGGTCCAGCCAGATTGCATCCAACCTGCGTGCTTCACGCCACGTTTTCTCTCGTCCAAGAGCAAGAGCAAGAAGAAATCCTCGAACGAGATGACCCGTCAGGTCAGACCGCTGCCAGAGCTGATAGCTGAGCCGACGAACGCTCGGTCCATGTCGTTCGTGGGGACCCACGAGTATTTGGCGCCAGAGATCATCAAAGGAGAAGGCCACGGCAGCGCGGTGGACTGGTGGACGTTCGGGATATTCCTGTACGAGCTTCTGTTCGGGAAAACTCCGTTCAAAGGGGAGGTGAACAGGGCGACGCTATTCAACGTGGTGGGTCAGCCTCTGCGTTTTCCGGAGCATCCGAGTGTGAGTTTCGCGGCCAGGGACCTTATCAGAGGGCTGCTGGTGAAGGAGCCGCAACACAGGTTGGCTTACAGGAGAGGAGCCACCGAGATAAAGCAGCATCCTTTCTTCCAGAGCGTGAATTGGGCATTGATCCGATGCACGAGCCCTCCTCAGGTGCCTCAGCCTGTTTTAGCCATGGGCCATCATCATCAACATCAACACCCACAGCATCATCAGCAGCATGGTAAGCCAAATGTGGATGTGAAGCCTTCGGGTAATTATTTGGAGATCGATTTCTTCTGATTCTTTCTTTTCTTTGGTCGTGCTCGTGTTCTTCTTCCTGGGCTTTATATCATCAACTGTATGATGGTTTTGTTTGTGCTTTCTTTACCAATTGTTGCCAAAGATTTCTGTCTTTCAGACATCAATGTCGTCATGATGTTGTAACTATAGACGTAAACACAAACAGCCTTCCGAGACCTATATTCATATTCTCAGGATTCGGTGTTTTCATCAATTTCGTCAATCACTAATTCACTATGATATATAATAATATTAACTCCTGGCATTTTTAATTCTTTTCTATCACACAAGTGATTTTCACATAATTAGCGTCTGAAAATGGGCGTGATAACGTCTGATCTTCCTAATTAGAAAAATTAGTTGAACAAGAAAGAACCCTTCGTTAACCTAACCGCCTGTCAGCGAAGACCGTTTGACGGGCGAATAGAATGGTGGGTAGCTCGTGCTGTCGCTAAAGGCCGATTTCACCGTCGAGGCACTTTATCATATCATGTGGGACCCCCATGATTCCACAACGTGAGGAAGGGCTTTATTTTTGGCGAAGATGGTGTGAAAAATGATAGCCAAAGTCGCTCTTTGTCCTCCACTCCGATCGCTTCGATTCTTCAACTCTCTCTTCTTCTACGAAACCCTAGCTTTTAGAGAGAGAAAGTGTCTCTCTTCCATGGCCGCAGTAGATGACGAGCAGTATGGGTTCAAGCGGCAGGAGATGTATAGCGGCAGCCTCGCCGGCTCCGTCAGTCCGTACGATCGCCATGTCTTCCTCTGCTACAAGAGTCCCGATGCGTGGCTCTCACGCGTCGAGAATGAAGGTCTCCCGAAGCTTTTCGCCTCCTCTTTCAAGGCTCGCAAAGCCGATATCTCTGTCGAGGTATAGAATGCTCGATATTTGTTTACTTCTCTCGTTTCGTGCATCTTTCTTAACCCTTTACTGATCTTTTCGGTTTTGCGTCATAGACGAAACTGACGATTTGTGGAGGAGGTGAATCGGATGGGGACGTGTTGATTTTCCCGGAAATGGTCAGATATAAGTAAGTGCATCTGAGGTTTTGATACTTAACTGCTTGTTTGAATTTATTTTTTGGAAAACGCATGGCTACGATTTGAATCATAGCTGTGGGAAACTGTTTTGATAAGATTCTGGAAGCTGCACAAATTCGATTCTGGATCTTCGGAATTCGATCAAATTATAGAAACTGGCTTGTTAAGACTCAAAATTCTGACCCAAGATACATGTATGATAAGCTGGTTTTATATCATTCACTTGATGTGTGCATCCATTCTCCTATGTTACCGGTGAGATCTTAAACGGTGTCTTGTAATCTCTCTCTTCTTGCTTATGTCACTGCAGGGGACTTAAGGACACGGATGTGGATGCTTTTATTGAAGATGTGCTTGTGAATGGGAAACCATGGGGCTCTGGGTTCCAGGAGGAGTTAACTGGTTCCTATGTGTTTGTGTGTGCTCATGGTAGTCGGGACAAGAGATGCGGTGTTTGTGGACCGGCCTTAATAGAGAAGTTTAAGGAGGAGGCAGATTCGCATGGACTTTCAGGTCAGATCTTCGTTGAGCCATGCTCTCACGTCGGTGGACACAAGTATGCTGGCAATTTGATCATCTTCAGTTCTGATTCAGCTAGAAATGTGTCTGGCCATTGGTAAGAAAAATGCCGAATGTATAAATTGCTTGTAAAACTCGGAGAAGGAAATGGAATGTTATACTTTATTCATAACGTGACTGCGCATCTATGTAAATGCAGGTATGGCTATGTAACTCCTGATGATGTGCCCGAATTGCTTGACCAGCATATCGCTAAAGGAGAAATCGTACAAAGAATTTGGAGGTATTTTTTTCCCACTCCTCTTCCTAGCCCGTAGTAGATATTTGTCTTGTTGAAGTAGCTTTACGTTTTCGCATAAAACAAACAATACTCGATGACATTCCACGCTGGTGTAACCTTAGATAGGTTAGCACATTACTGCGTAGCGATCACTAGTGTTATACTTGACAAGCTTCTGCTATCAGAGACCAGTATCGATGTATTATCTTTGCTTTCGCCGAGCTTTTGGTTTTGTGTAACTTCTTAAGGAACTCATAGCATTACAGTCACTTCAGCATATGATAATATTTTCTACAACATGACATGAGATCTTTCCGTTTTTTTACTTGTTCTGATTCCGGAATGCTTCTTCAACAGTGTCTCTCCCTTTCCACAAAAGTGACAGAATTGTTTAATTCCTCTCAATGGTGGTAAATATTACCCAGCCTCCTAAACCAGATACATTTGGATTCAGGGGCCAAATGGGACGGCCAGCAGGCGAAACTGCAAAAGGGGAAGAGCAGAATCTGGCAAACGGGAACAGCATTGAAGGGAGCAACGGATTGACGGGAGGCTGTTGCCAGGGTGTAAATGGCGTTTCGTGTTGCCAGGGAGAAAATCCAGAACCAGCCAAGAAGAAGGAAACCTGCAAGCCACCGGGCTGGTTCAGGTCCCTGGAGAAGGACGAGGTGTTCTTGGCGGCTGCAGTGGTTGGAGCCGTTGCAACAGTGGCTGTGGCTTACAGCTTTTACCGAAGGTCAGGATAGAACCAGAACGCACCCTCGCCATTGGAGCTTTTCATCTACAAGTAATAAGCCTTTTTTCCACCCCCACTTTTTTTTGGGGGGTATAAAGCCGGAGGATAGTAGTTTTTTATAATTAAAAAAAAAAAAAGGAGAAGAGAAACATGAAAGGAATAATCTTTCGGGACCATGTTTTTGTTTTGTTTTGTTTTATTATACTGAGCGATATGGTTTGATGCACATCAATTATGGTAAACAAAACCCAATAATATGGTTGTGCTACATTTTTCTTGGATGATTGTGTGTATATAAGTAGATTGGATTATCCAGATTTGAGATTTGAGTAGTTTAACCAGTGGAACGGAATATAAAATGTTTGTTATGTTCTGAATTCAGACACCCTAAATCATATGATATGATTGGTTTCCGATATTAGTCTGAATCTTGATCCAATAGATCCGGTAGAAAAAAGAAGGATAGATTGGAATCGGGTGTTATAATGGCAAAAGATGTCCAAGGACCATGAAGTTTTTGCAGACATGACAGAGAAATAGGAGAGACACCCCAGAGAAATAGGAGACTGAAGGAATGTATGATGATGATGATGATGATGATGATCCTTGAGTAGACTGCAACATCACCTCCTCACCTCACCTCACCTCACCGGTTTCTGTTTCTTACATAATGTTACAATTTGATATTCTTAAAATAAATAATATTATGACGGTTTTTTTAGCATTGATTGATTATTTTAATGATAATGACTTTAATTATAATTATTTTTACGAGAAGTTTAAGCTTTTTGAACGGTGCAAAGCTATGGCTAAAACTATTTTTATGTATGGGCCTTTAGATAAAGACTAATGGGCTTTTCTCCATTATTAGGCCCAAAGTATATATCCCTTTTTCTCATTCTAACCTAACGTAGACAAAAAAAAAAAATCTAAGCGCGGTAACGTCAGTGGAGAAGAAGACGGCGAAGTAGCAGAGTCCGCCATGAAAGAGGAGGGGAAAAGCATGAGACGGAAGGGGCAACGGCACCGTAAGACCCTAAATCAGAATCTCAGAGAGACATCGAATAACCATAATGACAAGAAGCGTCCACGAGAGATCGAACTCCACAATGGCCATGAACAAGGAGGTTCTTCGGCCTCCTCGAAGCGGTCAAAATCCTCTAATTTCCTCGACATGGTCCTCTCTCGATCAAAATCTATTTCTATTTTTATGTCAATTTTTTTTTTTTTTGGAGGTTTTAGCAGGTTTTTTCACAAGAAACGGTTTTGATCATGGAGTGTTGTTATGATTGCAGCTTCGAGCGAGATTAGCCGGTGGACACTTCAGGATGCTCAATGAGAAGCTCTACACTTGCACGTAAATCTATTTTCCCCTGTTATTTTCCATTTGTCTCTCTAGTATTTGGACTAACGAAACTGGATTGGTTTTTTCCAACACCCAGAATATGTTTTTGTCAATGTTTTGCTGAGAAAAGTGTCTATCGTTTGCTAGATTTAGCTTCATTTGATGTGAATCTGTGATAATGTTTCTAATTATATATGTGATTGCTCTGATACCAATCTACTTTATGTTGTATCAAAATGGATGTGCGGAGGAGTCCCGAATTAATTGCAAGTAGTATTCTTCAGTTCCAAATCGTTTGAGTTCATTTCCTTTTACCGTTTTCTCAGCGGCAAAGAGGCGCTCGAGTACTTCAAAGAAGACCCCCAAATGTTTGATATGGTAAGATTAGTTTGAAACCATGGTCTGTCTTTTAAAGGATGCATCTTTCAACATTTTTCCAATTTGTTCGATGAATATTTGCGTCTCTTAATATGGCTAAGAAGCTCCGCACGTTGATGTCTGCGATGTTTACTCCCACAATTGACTTTGCTTTGTCAGTATCATACAGGTTATCAAGAGCAAATGTCACATTGGCCTGAACTTCCTGTTAATACCATAATAAACTGGCTCAAGTCTAGGAGCCCTTCTCTGGTCGTGGCTGATTTTGGCTGTGGTGAGACTTTCTAAATCTGTTTTTTTACCGCAGCTTTCTCCTTAATCTTCTGCCGACATCAGTATCTTGATGCAATTGTCTTTCAGGTGATGCACGGCTTGCAAAGAGCGTGAAGAACAAAGTGTTCTCTTTTGACCTTGTCGCTAAGGATCCTTCTGTTATTGCATGCGATATGTCAGATGTACATAATACATTTTCCTTAATCGATGTCGCATTCTCTCTACTTAGTGATCCTTTTCTGAAGCTTATTAATGGTGGTAATGGTTTTTTTTTTGTGATTTCTGGCAGATTCCTCTCGAGTCTTTGGCTGTTGACGTTGCTGTATTTTGTCTTTCATTGATGGGAACCAACTATTCCAGTTACATTCAAGAAGCACATAGAGTTCTTCGCCCAAGGTCCCCTGACCTCTCCATTCTTTTATTTTATAGCTTATGATATGTGATGGTTGGTTAATAGCCTCAACTATGGTGCACTCAACAGTGGTTGGCTTCTCATAGCAGAGGTGAAAAGCAGGTTTGATCCAAACAATGGGGGAGCAGACCCGAAAGCATTTGTAAAGGCAGTATGTGATCTTGGATTTACATCGGTTTCAAAGGCATGTTCTCATATAAATTCCCCCTACTCTACCTACCATAATCAAATCCTCTTTCAATTCCTCTAAACCTTACACCCTTTATGCAGGACTTTTCAAACAAGATGTTCATCTTATTTCATTTTCAGAAAAAGGTCAGTAAAGATCCCTCCTCTTTTTTTTCTTTTTTTTTTTTTTTTGAAAATCCGGAAGTTCACTGGGCTTCGGTCCAACTACATCCCCAAGAGGATTGATGAAGTCCAAGTGAACCCGAGTGGAGACTCGAACCTTGATTGGGAAGGTTGCTCTATCCTTACCATTTGAGCCACCCAATCTTGGGTTAAAGATCCCTCCTTTAGTTTCAGTTAGATCCTGGATTTACATCCCTGAGGAGGAGGTTTTGTTTTTATAATCTCTCAAACCGAAAACTCAATCACTTGCATGATATTAAATAGGAGAAGCCAAATTCAAAGAGGAAGGAGGGGATGAAGTGGCCAGAACTAAAACCATGTTTGTACAAACGCCGATGATTGTAAGTACACAGACCCCTAGTTCTCATTCTTCATCTGATGCAAGATTACGTAGAGACCGCTCTAGTAGGTTCTTGTCTGTTGTAGGCTTGTAGTGTATCTAAAAGCTTATGATTGACTGAAAAAGTTTTGGAACATTCATCTTCAGTTTTGTTGTTTTCATTTAAAGTGATTTTTTTTCTTTTCCTAATGAAACTCGAAATGTTTAGTTTTATATTCAGCATTGCCCAAAAAGGCCATATCTTTCATATTTTCAAACCTAAGTTTATGTATTGTGTTTTCTTGTCCAAGTCTTTTTTTGGTCGGTTAGTCTTCGTTCTTCGAATGGTCACACAAAAGTCTTATGAAACGAAGTGAGAGCTTTAAATGTTTCGCCGATTCGGTGTTCCTCTTGACAATGTTTTGTTGGTTTTGTTTTTTTTTTTTTAATTATTTCTTTTTCCATTTTGACTTTTGGTTTACAATTCCTTTTGTCTGAAAGCATTTTTTCTTTGTCTGATTTTTTTTAAAATGAAACTATATCTTAATTTATCGTCGGTGAAATAAGATTTTGTTTTAATTTATAGGGACAATGCAACATTTTTCTGCTGCAAATTTTTGTATCCCTTGAAAAAATAAATAAATGGGAGATTCTGTTCATATCTAGGACCTATTGATCTTTTAGATGGTAGATATTTCGGTTTGGAGTGTTGTAAACAAATGAGAAGACAATAATATTTTTCAAATGTTAAATAATTACGAATTGAATTCTAACTGATTCAAATCAAATCCAAATGTAATTATATTTTTAAAACCAAAAGTCCTAGTATTAAAATGATAAATAACCAAATTAACGAGTTTAGTGTTTGTTTCAATGCATCAATTGAGTGATTTATATATATATATATATATATATTTATATATAATGGAAACTTCAAGAAATTGATATTTTTTTAACCAAATTATCAGTACATAAATCAAGAACCGAAAGTACAAAAAGAACATTGAAAATCCGATCATATGCGACACCGCAAAGTACAAAAAAACATACTTGAAACCCGACTCCCGCTTTTTACTTCGCCTCGCCTCCGACAATATATTCAAAAATACTTTTTTTGTTTTTTTTTTCTACTATTAAACAAATAATATCTTTTTACTGTTAGCATTCTATGAAACGAAACCACATTTTTTTCCAATTTAATTATTTTGATACGATATAATGACAGTCCAGTGTAATTTAAGCTAAATATAGGCGAATGCCGTTGCCAAAACATTAAATGTTTTGAACTAAAACTGTTTTTATATTTATTTATGAGTAACTTTAACAGTTCTTATTCTTTTCCTCGGGCGACTTTTACCGTATTGTATTGCGTGAATTTTGATTTTGTTTTTTGCTTTTACTTTTTTTTTTAATATATATTTTTACACGTATTTGACTTTCACGAGATAAAACACGTGAAGGAAAAAAAACAAGAAGTGGGTAAGAAGTGAGGGGGGGTTTTATTGACTGGTCATAATAATACTTATATAATATATGGATATATAAACACAATATTTTAATATAAAAAAAGTGATGGAGTGTCGGTGTGTCTCATTGTCTTGTCCAAGAGAGATTGTAGATGAAAGAGGTAAACCAAAAAAAAAAAAATCCAAAAACTGCTGTTACAAATTTTTTTTTATAAAAAAGTCAACTATATATAGATGTCATGCTTTGCTGAAATTAATGTAACACAACCAAACCAAACCTTGAAATTAGATTTTTCCGATTTATTTTAATTTTAATTTTTTTTTCTAGTTACAAAAATGTGCATGAATATAAATTTTCTTTGAATTTATTTTTTTATAAAACAATCATTTAGAATTTTACCACAACGTTTTTCTAAAAAGTAATTATTATCCATAAAAATTAATCTGCGTGTTTTCCTAATAAACAAAATTAGCCTTTTCCTCACAGAGCACAATGATCTCTTATCCCTCTTTTTTTTTCTACAGATTAATGATGGGTGTGTAATTTATAAAAGAGGAAGAAGGGGAGATCAAAGACCTTACGCGGAAATAGCTAACATATTTTTTTTTGGATTAAAATATACAAAGGAATTTTAAAAAAAATCATAAATTGAATTTTGCCCAGAGGAACACGAATCATCAAATTTTCAACCCAACATACCCATTTTGACCATTTCCCCATCTGGGTTTTTCCTTCAGTTCGAGTGTCAACTTCAGTTCTTTCCTTCGTTGTTGTTCTCCTCTCTCTCCTCTTATATCTCCGCCTTGTTTCTGCAGATTTTTTCCAGAGAAATTAAGGATCTTTCTTTTTCGTGCTGTTGACAAATCGTTTTTTTTTTTTTGTTGTTTTGCTTTCTTTCTTCTTTTCTGTTCTTCTGGGTTTCTTTATTCTCTGCCCCGAATTTGCCGGAATCCTTTGGTTTCGCTTTTAATCCCCGAAAGCATCTTGTTTTTGCGATTATATTGTTCCACTATCAGAATTTCCTCCGAAAAAGAATGTACCGTCATCAAAGAGATCCGTGTTTGATTGATCTCTAGCTAGGGTTTTTGCCGCAAGTTTCAGTTTTTTTTTTGGTCTGGGTTGTTTCTGGAAATGGGATCTGCTACTGGGTTTTACTCAAACCAAGAGTTTGAATTAGATCCTAAATGGGTTGTTGATCCTAAGCATCTATTTGTTGGTCCCAAGATTGGTGAAGGTGCTCATGCCAAAGTTTATGAAGGAAAGTAAGTTGATTTCTTTCCCATTTATCTGGTTAAATTCCTTCGGTTCATGTAAATTGACTTCAATCCATTCTTGTTATGATCAAGTTTTGTGTCTTGATCCAAGATTATGGTTCTTTCATGGGATTAATCTACTTGAACCGGAATCTGAACAATAAGACCTTTCACGTTTTCAAAGAACTCCATCTGCTGAAAATCCCATAACCGTGTTCCAGGAAGAACTTAGGCTTATTTGGGTTCAAGCTATTCACTTTCTGTCCAGCAGAAGTGTTTTGTAATTCAAAGTTTTGTCCTTTTATTGTCAGACGAAATTCATCGGTCTGTTTTAAACATTTCATTCATCATTGCTGAATATTTTCAGAGTTGTGTCTGAGTTGAATAACTTTGGCATGCCATTGAAACATTTGCTATATCAGTTGAACATTATCCAGTTAGTTCCCTCTTGGTGAAAATGTTACTTATATTAGCATTTCAAACTTTGAAGAACTCTTGATTTAGAGAATCGAAGACGGGTTTTCTTCTTCTTCTGGAATCAACATTTTTGCCCATCAATCTTTGAAGAACTCTTCATTTTGATATCTGTTTCAGTTTTGATGTCTGTCCCATGAGCTCTTTCATGAATCACCGCAGCCTGAATAGATAAATTAGCTTGTGGTTTAATGATACTTTCACCTCTGAATCTTTGGTCAATGTAAAACCCGAGGTGGGTCTCGAGCAAGGTTTGGTCGTAGAGCTAGTTTTCGTAGATTTCTATGGTTGTGGAGATGTTTTTGGGAAGAAGAAAAAAAGGTTGTATGAAAATGCTATCTCTTTCTTAGGTATAGAAATCAAACTGTGGCTATAAAGATCATTAAAAGAGGAGAATCCCCGGAAGAGATCTCCAAAAGAGAGAAGAGGTTTGAAAGAGAAGTTGCTATGTTGTCTAGAGTTCAGCACAAGAACTTGGTCAAGGTCCGGCTCCTTTCTGTTTATAACTTTTCTCGAGATTTCGAGCTTTAAGATCATGACGATGCCGTGGTTTTGTTGGTTATATAGCACCTCTAAATGTGGAACCATTCCATGCCTGAGAATGGTAGGGGCTTAATGATTATGGTAAATGATGATTTCAGTTCATCGGAGCGTGCAAAGAACCCATTATGGTTATAGTCACCGAGCTCCTACTGGGTGGCACGTTGCGTAAATACCTGCTCAACTTGCGGCCTCGGCATCTGGGCATTGATGTGGCTATCGGGTTTGCTCTCGACATCGCTCGTGCCATGGAATGCTTACATTCCCATGGCATCATCCACCGTGATCTTAAACCAGGTAATGTCACTATTGGCAGAACTTGTAATAGATCAGCATGAGCGAAAACCTGTTTTGCAAGATCGATCTTTTACGCTGTTATATCGATCCACTCGTAGAATCAAATATTTTACCTGCATATATTTCCGGGTCTTGCCTCGCAGAGAACTTGATCTTAACCGCTGATCACAAAACGGTTAAACTGGCGGATTTCGGCTTAGCCAGAGAAGAATCGCTAACCGAGATGATGACTGCAGAAACCGGGACATACCGCTGGATGGCACCAGAGGTACTTCTCTATAAACTCAGTGTTCTTATCATTATGTATCCTGCCTTTGCTTCGAAACGCTGAAATGTATCGCAAACGCAAACGCTGTGCACAGCTTTACAGCACGGTGACGTTGAGGCATGGAGAGAAAAAACACTATAACCATAAGGTGGACGCATATAGTTTCGCGATTGTGTTATGGGAACTGATCCATAATAAGTTGCCGTTTGAAGGCATGTCTAATCTACAAGCGGCCTACGCCGCTGCGTTTAAGGTACAACCCTCGTCGCTCTCTTCTCACGTTTTACTGCGTTTACTTGATGGAACCGCGTTTGCAGTGTTTGCGTCGTAAACCAAACGCAGTTTTCTCTTTGTTTCGCTTTCAAAGGCTCTCGACCTCTCCGATTGAACCGACGTTTGCTTTTCGTGTTTTGGAAACGCCGTTTTGATCGTCCTGTTTTTTCTTCGTTGAATACTTTTTTTGGCAGAACGTGAGGCCGAGTGCCGATGACTTACCGGAGGACCTAGCGACAATAGTGACGTCATGTTGGAAAGAAGATCCGAACGACCGACCGAACTTCACGGAGATCATTCATATGCTTCTCCGCTACCTCTCCACCGTGTCGGCTCCCGAGCCTGTCCCTCCACCACGCCGTGTCTTCTCTTTGTCGGAAAACGCTGTTCTGCCGCCGGAGTCGCCAGGGACGAGCTCTCTTATGGCCGTCAGAGACGACGGCTCCGACCGAATCCCGGGCGGCAGAGACGGCCCCGGCGAGCCGGAGAAGCCCAGGGGAAGCTTCTTCTTCTGTTGCTCGTAATACGATGAATGGTGTGTGTATGTATGGTACCGATTTTGGAAATCAATGTATCATAAAAGTGTATTACCACCACTGTTCCGCTATATTAGATTACGAAATTAAGCTATAAATTTGCTATCCTTTTCAGAAAATGGACATGGATCTGTTCTCTGTTTACTTATCCCACAAGGAAACCTGCTTGAAGCCAAAGAGAATCTGTTCTCCGTTTGAAGAACACAGAAGGACCACAACCACTGCTCAAGATTACCAGAAGATTCCTTTCTCAATTTAAGAAGAAAAAGACATCTTTTTAACTTGAAAGCTAAGACCTTTTGCCCTAATTTCATCCCGTTGGCTTCAAGAATCTCTCTGCAAGTCTGCCCAAATCTAAACTTCCGAACATTGTTTGCACCCGACAAGAACATGCTTTGCCAACGAACCTTTTTCAGACAGAGATGAAGCAACCATGGTTATGTGACACTAAGCCTAAATCTGGAGGTAAAGGTTGAGAAAAGGGTGTAAGCATTAAGCAGATGCAACTAGAACAAGAATGAAGCAACTCTTACAGAACTAAAATCATAACAATCGAATCCCCGAGAAAAAAAGGTTATAAACGAATGCAACAGAATTCCCTATATGGAATTAGATTAGCCCGGAAACGCAAAATTTCCCATTGAAGAAAAACCTGGGAAATGTTGCCCTGCTAAAAACAATGAGCTCTTATCTTATCTCGCAAACCTCTGTATCAGAAGAAACTGACAAAGTCCCGGGAAGAAGGAATCAACAGAGCCACTGTCTGAATCCAAGGTTCTGTCAGATTCTTTCCGGCAACTGTGTATCTAACAAATTCCCGGCCTTTTCTCCTCTCTCAGTTCAGGTGGACACTCTATGCCGTCCATATCGAGATCATCACAGTGGCATCAGTAACAGATCATGAAGCTTTCGTCTCAGCTGAGCAATCTATTCAGTGGGGTTCAAACTATACAAGAAACACCTCAACATGTTCATATAACCACTGTCACCCACTTTCTCTGATGCAGTTCCCAGGTAATAGGTATTTGTACTGATCTGCATTATCGAGCAGATGGGCAGGAAGATGAACCGCTGAATAAGATCTAGGGATAGGTCCCATCTTACCGATAATCTCTTTGAACGTGTACTCCTCGGGAATCATATCGAACAGATCAGTCCCTCTGCAAACAATCTCTTGAATCCTCTCCGGGTTCAAGTAATGAGAGAATCTGATGCGGTCAGAGTGGCTATAAGCTTTCATCTTGAATATGAATTCACTTATATGGCGGAAGCAGAAGCTGCAGTGCCATCCAGCGTCAGATAACATAACATCACTCTGGCGGAAATGAGCATACCGAGTTTTCCCGGGTCGGTACCGGTGGATAGATGCTCTCCAGCTCTTGTTATCGACATAGTACTCGAAAGAATACAAGTAGTTCTTCAGCTGAAGGTGAAGGATTGGCGGAACATCGTCACACCATCTCAAAAGATTAATCGTGTGGGCGCTCGGGATCTCGTCCACATCCGACATGATCAACAAGTCATCCTCTTGAATGCCCGCAATTCTAAGCAACTGATCCAACGCAACCCGTTGATATGCTTCCTCGATGAACGGGTTCTCGCCCTTCTTGAACCGTCCCCCGATAGTCCCGTAAGTCAACCGAGGCTCCACAAACTTGAACTGCTCCTTACTGCTCTTGAAAACCAACGGCTTGACCAAACCAGTAAACGTCGAGTTAGACTCGAGAAGAACGAACTGAGTGACATAAGGGTAAAGCTCTTTCCAACGGATGGTTAGAATATCTTTCTCGTTGCTGAACAAGACAGAGTCAAAAACCCTTCTCGGGGATTCACGGATTCCCCATCCGTGAAGCTTGCAGAGAGTTTCCATGGAAACATTCTCGTGATAATAGTGAGGAAGGACGGAGAATGGCTTCGGAGGAGATTCCCAGAGGGGTCGGAGGAAATAGGTGACCTTCTGGCCGTGCAAATACATTGCCAAGATACAAAAGGGCATCACCATGAACATGAAAATGTAGGTTTTCATGTCGAAACCTCGAAGAACACACTTAAGCCTCGTCATGGCTGCTGTCCGTGATCCCTGCAGCAAAAGAACAATACGCCCAAACAGGGTGGTCATACGGTGAAGAACAAGATTCCATGGAACATGTTGGAACCATGATCTGCACAAAAAAGCTTACGAATTTCATGTTTTTAACATAACTTGCATTGATTAGATCGGCACCAAACTCATAATCACTTGCCCATTGTCTGAAAATTCAAAATTTCCCAATCTCCCCAGAAATTTAGGCGACAACGAAAAGCGGAATTCTTCCAGAAAATAAAATAGAAAGCGATTATCAGATTCCCATCGATTCAAATCCAAGTTTACGGTACAGAATTGCGTAAAAGAACGATATCGATAACTGCAGAACCAAAAAATTAAAACTTTCCACGAAATTATAATTTCAAATTAACCAACTAATTGCATTGTAAGTGCAAGGAGTGGGAGCTCTGCGTAGAAGCCGATCTCTCTCCAAACACAGACCAAAAAACAATCATTCTTATGAAAAATTAACAAAAATAAGAATATAATTTCGAAAAGGGGAATTAGAATTTACCTCTCCACAGACATCTGTGCAGATATCATCCGTCTTCTTCGAACTGTAATACCCATCGGACATGATTCACTTGGATGTATAACCACGTGCGATGGCAGAAACAACGCTCTGTTCGTCTAATGCTTGAGCCGGAAACCGGAGAAGCCCAGATCAAGACCGACGAATTTCAACCAAACAAAAAAAAAATAACCAGAAACAAAAATAGAGAAATCTCCTCGTAACTCCTTGGCTTTCCGCAAAATTCAATGCATCTGTTTTCGCTTCCGTCGAAAAAAAACCTAAAAACATCAAACTATAGCGGCTTTTAAGGAATCCGAACCCAACAAAAAGAAGGAAAAAAAAAAAGAATATTTCAAATTTAATTCTCTCCACACAGAACAGAACAGAACGAACAAAAGGAAAAGAATTTAGCCAAAATTGCAAGTTTTTTTTTTGGTTAATCAAAATTGCAAGTTGGGTAGCTATTTCGGTTATTAAACGAAACTGAATCGAATCGAATGGAACAAAATATAATCATATTCGAATTGAACCCGATATTAAAATCGAAACGGTTATGATTTTTTTAAATCCGAAAAAATCGAAATCGAATTGAACCGAACTGATTAAAAAAATAACCGAAAAAACCGACGACTTTCTTTTTAAAAAATGAATTTTTTACTGAAATCGAATCGAACCGAATCGAAGTTTTAATGGTCTACAACCGAAATAATCCAATCCCAATATAATCGAACTGAATGGCCACACCTAATTGTGGGCAAAGCGTTTGTTCGGCGTCCCCGATTACGCGTCTTGTAGCCGTTGGATTAATCTGGAAGGCGTTAGATTAAATCGTACGGTTGATGTCAATTCACGCGTGGGAGAGAACGTGAGTCGCTGTTTTGTCAAATTGCGGCAATTGCCAATTGCCAGCGCATAAAAGACGAGCCGTTTTCTCGCCTCTTCTTCACAGTAATTAAGAAAAAACGACACGTAGTTTTTGATAGATAGATAAATGACTCAATGAGAGGAGAGGAGGTTATTATCGTCATTATGCTTTGTTTATTGTCATTACGTTATATATTTATACATAAATAATTAGAGATTTTCTTTCCAATTCATTCTAACTCTGTATATTTCTAGTAAAAAAAATCCATAGATTACAAAAACTCAAAACAAAAGAAAAATATCCAAATAATTTTATAAAAAAATCTAAAAATTTCAAAATACATATAGATGATAAATGAATCAAAGTAGAATAAAAACTGAATCTAGAAAACATATAGAAATAAAATAAACTACAGATATTATAGAATATCAGTTTAAAAATTGAAATTATAATATCTTATACATATTATATTCATTTGTTAACAATGTTGTATAGCACTCTGATTATACAATTCGTTTAGATGATGCCTACCCAGTTGTAATTGAAAGTTGATCAGTGGATACCATTGGGCTTTCAACAACCTCGTATAAAATATTTGCATAGTATAATAACGAGTCTCACACATAATTGGCCGCAAGTAATGATTAAATATTTTTAAGAAAACTATAAAAAAAAATCAAGCAAACCATGATTATAGTGAAAAATAAGTTTGAAAAATGAAATGAGAATATGGACCAACACAAATTTCTAGGCTCGTTAGTTATTTTTTAATATGTTTTTGCAAGCGACAGTATAACAAATCTAATAGAGATTAGGATATCTGTATCTAACTTATCTAACCCGGTTCTTTCTAAATTATTTAATCGACATTGATTATTATCGTGTTGTTGGCGATGAAATTTTAAAAACCATATGCATACATGTATATATATATAACTATTGATGTTTTTATATTCTATTATTGGCATATCATTATGAGTGCATGCGCTCAAACTTTAGAAATTATTGAGTTTTCCTTCTAGTCCAAGCTTAATTTTGAAAATTTTATATTAATGCTCATATTAATTTCAGTTGCGTTCTAACGGCTATTAATACTTTTAAACCTGTTAATAGAAAACATACGATTAGATAGATTCCAAATCATCTAAAGTTTGTGTTTTTTTTTTGAAGTTAATTAAAGTAGGAGATTTCGTAGCCTATTTCTATACTGGAATTGCTTCATGTTTAGAACACCAAAAGGTGCCTAGAGCACCATATTCCGCAGCTTGTGGCTTTGTTTATGGAAATTAATAATTATCCTTTTCAATCCCAGTATTTAAATGGATGTCACTGTAAAGTGCAGCACTTGGCTTTTTATGATCATCGCTTGGTCGTCCAAGGTTGGTATAAAAATGGGGAATAATTTCACGCCACATACAACATTCCTTCTACACAAATGGGTACTCTTAAAATCGAATCAAATTAAATATAATAGCATAATTGTCTTTTAATCAAGTTTATTAGAAAAATGTATTGAATGTGCATAAAATCAAAATAAATATGAAAAAAAAAAAAATATATTTTAGAAACTAATTTCAAGAATCTAATATGTAAAATTTTCGTGTTTTTACTCTATATAAAGGATATTTCGTAAACTAGCTTTCCAAAACAAAAAAAAAAATTCGAAGTCACTAAATTTTTGCATCCATTCTAAGAGTATTGAATTAATTTGAAGTGCGTAGTTATGGAAATATAACTTATGACTATTGTTGTACCACATATGTGGACCAAAACAAAACGGCATTCGGCATTCGGCAATAACTTGTGGCCCATCATAGTAGGACTGTTACACTTCATGCATAAAGCCCATTAAAGTTATGTAGGCCCAACGTCCCCTTTGGCGAACACAGAAGGAGCTAAGATTCAGTACGGGCTAGTGCACAGTAAGCGACCGAGGTCCCCTCTTAAACTCCTATGTTTCAATGGAAAAGCCAAGATCGCGATAATCAGACGGTTTTCAGCCTTTTCAGACTCTGTTGAACTTCTCGCTTCTCTCAATTCCCATAGGTTTATTCTTCAACAAGCAGATAATTAAAAGGCTACAATGATTTAAATATATATATATATATATTATGAAGCCATGGGCAGTGTCATACGTATAAACCCACAGCATACCAATAGGATAAAATCTAAAATACTATTTTTCCAAAATATCATCAAACTCAATAAATTATTAAAACTAACAATTTTTAGAAAATGAATGAGCAGGCTTATCTTTAATCTTTAAAATACTAAAATCAAAACCTAGCTAAATGAATGAAGACGGGTTCTGAAAACACAGATATTTACCAATAAGCCAAAGTTCACATACATAGCCTATGTACTTGGATTTTTTCCAAGTAAGAGCAAACCAACCAAAAACCACAAGTCAAGCAACAGAACCTTTTCTTTGGTGGTTCATGGTTGTTTTAAAACAATTTTACAAGCCCAAAAAAAAAAACAGACAATGACACACGTGTTAAAAGAGCTTTGCTTAATCAGTGAAAGTGAGTAAAAGTTTACCGGAAGGGGACAGTGAAGAAGTTAGTGGAGGTGGGAAGTAGATTTGAAATAGGCTTTCTCGGCATCAGACATCCTGTCTTGGAACATCGTCCACTCTCTCCTGCACCTCTCCCTCACCTGATTTCCATTAACCAAATGACTTTAATCACACTCTTTAGATGGATGCCAAACTTTTGTACCACAGATAAATAAATAAATAAATAAAAACTTGACTTATCATATATATATATATATATACCCCTTCCCATGGCTGCTTCCCTTGCTCCGGTTGGCCCTGTGGGATTTTTTTTATACGCATAAGAAACAGCCATTACAGAACATTGTTATGTTGGGTTCCCTTTGAATACAACAATATGGGCTGGGAAACCTAATGCAAATGTGCTTTTGGCATTTCATCTACTAACTTCCACATCAAGAAATTCAGTTCCTGCTTCTGTAACATCCGTATTTTTGCAACTGTCTTTATATTATATACAGAGAAATTTGTTAATTTCCACCGTATGACAACACAATAACCTGCAAACCATGCAGTTCTACTAAATAAATTGCCTTCTAAATAAAACGAAAGCCAAATATCGAGCTTACTTGATTTCCCAGCGAAGGAACGCCTTGGTGAATAATCCACTGAGCATCTACGACTCCAATTTTCTCATGCGCATTCTGCTCGGAAACAAAGGGTTGGTAACGAAGAAAGTTCAGATTACGAGTGTATTAAAAATATTCAATGAAATGCATTCTACACATTGCATGGATAGATATCCCAGATGCACGTATGCCTGCCCCAAAGGAAAATTCAGTTGCAGACCTGAACACACTTCCGAAGAGCAAAGTCCAAGCCCCATCCATGAACTAAATCGTTCTGCAATTAACAGGTAACAAATTGAAATTTGTCGAAGATAACAGTTAACAAGCCAATAATACAACAAGAGAAAAGCTTTACCAAACCTGAATCATATGCCACACACAGCGCCATGCCTTACGAGAAAAAACAGGAGCCATAATCTCAACGAATCTGATTGGTTTTCATAGGAGAAAATATTAACTCTATTTTCAAACAAATGATACTGATTTAATCATTCATGAAATGCCCAATGAGGTGAATGGAAATGGATAGTTAAGTAGATTAGCATACGCAGCACAAGGGGGCAGATTCGGATCAGTACACCAGCCATTTTTCTCATCAGCGTGCCTGAAAGGAGAAAAGATATGAAGTAACACCAAAGTATTGTATGTGGTTAGGCTTTAGGGGAAAAATAAATTGATAGCTTTTATTTTGTTGCCCTAACTTGTGAACTTCAGTGTCGTCTCTTTTCTTTGTCATCTCCCATGTCAGCCCTTCATACGGCTGTAACCCAGGCTGTGAGATTTCCAGTCCATGTTTCTTTACCACAGCCAGATATCTGTACTAGAAATGAACTATTTACATCCGGCCAGGCAATAAGAGGAAGTAAGCTTTAGAAACATACTCTTCTGAATCAAAGTGCTCCACACCAAGATCTTCATCCCATATGAATATATATTCATAGGGGGCAACAATATCTGGATGTAGAAAACGCTTAGCATACCACCTGAACAGAATATCAGATAGATTTGGGTAAAGCACAACCTTCGAACAGGAAAATTCCATTTTAGAGGGAGGTCGAAGTTAAAATTCAGGAAAATGGCTGCTGACCATTTAGTTTGCTTTCGCACGCTCACATGAATGGCCCGCTTCGACCATTCAAACTCTTCCCATTCACTCACCCGACCGTCGTAGTGAAACAACATTATGGTGAAGTTTTCTGAGAACTGCCAGTCATAAAGTTAGGGAAAGGGAGAGGTTAAGACAAGAAAAAGAGAAGAATGGAAATGGAAAGCAAGATGACCTTTTTCACTGCTGCATCTATATTTTTTCTCTGATCATAACCAACTGTAAAAGTTACTAAATACTTCTGCTTTATGGTCAAGTCCTGCACAGTCCATAAACATTAGATAATGTTAAGTCAGTTAACCAGATATCTATCTCGATCTAAGAATCAACCGGATATAAATAGAAGCCTGTAGACTGAAAAAAAGTGCACCTCTCGAGGATCGCCCCACAACCGACGGAGGTAGAGATCTGATTCAGGTGTAACTATAGCAGGGGGAAGTCTTTCAGCACCACGAGGATTTGTCGGATCCCATATCTGCAATATTATGCTCTATGATCTGATAATCAAGTATAACATGGAAAAACCAATAGGTAACGTACCAACCTTTTCGTCATTCAAGTCATAGGAAGGATCGGGGATCTCTCTCATACTTGTACTATCCTTGATAGAAGACCAAGCACCAAATAGTCCTTGTTTGGAGAAGCCAGAGTACTTGTCCTCGATATATGAAAGATCAATTGCAGGGAATAGCGTAGATGGAAGATTCATCTAACCAATTTAAAAGAAGAAGTTGAAGCCCATTAAAAATTAGAAAATGGATATCATGGGTATGAGAAAACCCACGCAATTAAGCTGGGTGAAAATTGGAATAAGCCTTATATCTGCTGTTCCAAGCAAGTTGCCCAATGCTCACCTTAGTTAAGGAAAGAGTTGGAAATGATATGCCCATAAGGAAGCCAACTATAACCCCGACAAAGGCTGTTATAAGAAGCCTCATCATTTGATTGGTTCTTCTCATTTTTCCACTGTAAGCAAAAAGAAAAACATCTCTTTTCATGTTCGGAAACGTAATACAGAAAGGACCCAAGGATCAAAAAACACAAACAAGAAGATAAACGTACTAATTTAGATGTAGGGAAGTGCTAAAGTTGATATAGACATTAACTGGTACTGACTTAGTAAAGAAAACCTCTTCATTTGATGACATGTAATGTTGTGAAACAGAAAGTGCAGAGGTACCCACCTCGTGTAATATGAGTACAGAGTGCTGTCTGATATCTTGTATCAATGCAAACGTAAAGCTATAGGATGAAAACCAGTAATTTGCATTCCTTCATATCATCAGAGTTGCATGCTTCAGGGCCTACACGTTCAAACAAACACGAGATTATCAATTTAAAACAAATCAAGAAAGTATGACAGCTTAGGATTTCTCATAAGACAACTAAGGATATCAACGCTGACTAAGAGCTTGATCATTTCATGCAGATGCTACAGTCTCTTTGCTAAAGCGGATTATATATGCCAATGCACAACTTCTGTAGATACACATGGATGTCTGATAAGTTGTATTCCTCTTTCTGTAAAATAACTCCTGATAGGAGGCGTCCTGTTCTGTTTCATTAGGTAATATATAAAAGCTAATCCTATAAATGAGAAAGCAAGAAATCATAGAACATACATAGAATAGACCATGTTCGATCAAAATCTCTGTAACTCAAATGAGCTTCAATGTTCTTTAATTGAACAAATTCCTACACTAACGTTAAACTAACACTAGTCCACATCCATGCAATTGGGGAGATATCTACCAACCAAGCCCCCGGTTACTAGGTCATAAAGGCTTAAAAAAGTGCATAAACACCGCAACTCCCTCGATTAACTTAGCTTATTCTTACAATTCAGATTCAGTCGATCAAAATGCAATTACGCATTTATTCAGCACTCCAAAAAACTAATACAACCGAACCCCCAATGTTGTCGCAATCACCATTTCTATGACGAACTCGGAAACGCGACACCGCGAGAAAAATCAAAGCAGATTACGAAAAGAAGACAACGATAAAAGTAAAGAAACTAACGGAACAGAATTGACCTGTCTTTTCGCGACAGAGAACGGGAAAATCCCGATTCCAGCAACACCGAATTCAGAAATCGTCGACGATACCGGGAAGCATTTGAACGGAGAAAACATAAACAAGTGGAAGATTTGGCTCTCCAAACTGCTTATTGCTCTGCTCCGACATTTGGATCTTCAGCTTGGAAACCAGAAATGGTGGTCCATGGCTTTTCGAAATCTCTCTCGAACGTGCGATCAAGTAGCTCATCACTCGAATTTATCCCTCCGATGAGCAAGCGTCTTTCGTCTCCTCTAAAGCCCAAATAAGGCCCAATCAATTTAAATTGGGCTTCCAAGAAGGCCCATTATTAACGAGGTAAACGTAAGATTACACGTGGCAGCGTGATAGGGTTTAAGAGATTTCATCGGACGGACGTGATCTCGTCCTCCCCACGTGGCAGATTAATAGCTAAAAACTGATAGATTAAGAAGGAAAATCACGATTAATTAATTTCATTAGTTTAAACTTCTTTGACTAGGTTCAGAACTTTTCCGTATTTACAATAGCTGTATTCGAAGCTCATTCCTTGAGCCAGAACGGCGTCGTACGGTGCTTCTTGATCTATGAATCCTAATTCGAAAAGATCTTGAAATTTTGAATTTTTTCAGGAAAAAATATGAATTTCCCCTTTTATTGTTGATTTAATTAAAGCTTAATTTTGTTGGAGTTACAGCAGAAGATCGAGCTGCGAGATATTTTCGATTCTGGGTTTGTTTCTTCCTTTCTCGTGCCGGGGATTTCGCAGGAGGAAGATGTCGTCGCCGGACATTGCCGGAATCCTGGACAACACGAAGGAGCTCGATCGGTTAAGGAAAGAACAAGAGGAAGTTCTTGTGGAGATCAATAAGATGCATAAGAAGCTCCAAGCTAGTGAGTGTTTCCATAATTATTCGAAGCAAATTTGGTATTTAAGGGCAAATTTTTCATGATCTGGGATTTGTTTGGATCTTCTCGTCAGCGTTATTTCAATGGGTTCTTCTGTGATAACTAACTGTGTCTACTTATTGCTTCCGACAGTTTGGATTTCAATCATAATGTCGGAGCGAAGTATCATTTAGTGATGGGATAATGCCATAGTCGCTGTAGATAACAACTCCATTGATACGAATTGGATGCTGATACATTCCAACTCCAAACCCTTAATTTAAGCTTCGTTGTAGAGAGTATTTAGAGCTTGTTAGCTTTCTGTGCTTCAATGGAGGCCGATTTGGCATAATGATCAGCTCTCATTGAGATATGCTTGGTGGGTCTCTAACTTCCCCGATTAAAAATCTCAAATTGGAAAGTCTGTGTTTAGGATCAATGTTGCTTGTTTCTCTCATCCGGTTTTTAGGATGATTGATTTGGAAACAACTGATGAGAAGCCGCGAAACATTATTTGCACGAGATTGGTATTTCTTGGAATGAATCTTGATGAAGTTGATTCTAGGGAATGCGTTGCTTCTATTTACTCAATTGAACATCTGTCTGGGGGAAATGTGTATCAGCCACACGTAGTGGAGGCCGTATGAGCTTGTGATGGGTACTTGGTTTTCGCTTTACCCATGTGTATTTTCAAGGCATAAGGGTAATAAATTTCAGTGTTTGCTCTGTTGAGCTTGCACAATTATCGGTCAATTAGCGGAACACGAACCATCTCTTCTTGTTCTTCTTGGTTATTAGCATTCTTCACGAGTTCATCTGACGAGTGATTATGTTCTAATGCAGGTCCTGACATAGTGGAGAAGCCTGGTGATATTTCATTGTCAAAGCTTAAAAATTTGTACATTCAGGCTAAAGAGCTTTCGGAAACTGAAGTAACGTAAGTTGGAAAACTAGTTTCCAGTTTTCAGTTTTCTTGAATTTACTTGCAGCAGTTCATCGGTTTGTTGAGAAGTTAGACTTTGAGTTAGATTAGGGAATGATGTTATAAGTAAATGATCCATTTTCGAAATTATATAGGCTGCCAAAGACCTCATCATTTGTTTGAGAATTCGAATCCCGTCCTTTAAGATCTGTAAATTTGTGTTGAATGCTGCTGTTGTTGCTGCTGCTGCAGTGTATCGAACATTCTGCTTGCTCAATTGGATGCCCTGCTTCCATCTGGACCAACTGGACAGCAACGCAGAAAAATAGGTACATGGGAGTCATGGTCGTCGATCAGACAATCTAGGAATATGTTTATAATTTGATGATCACTTACACTTATCATTTAAATATTGTGGTCTACTCCTGTAATGTTACCGACATTTCCTCTTCTGAAAAGGGAAAACAAGATCTTTCTCAGAATGCCAAACTTTTCCAACCATTTATTAGAGATGAATTAAGTGTTCCGATACTTGTAATGATATCACGTAAGTGGCAGAAGGCACCGATCAGAAGAGGAAGAGAATGAAAGTTGATTCAGATGTAACAAGACTTTCTCCTTCCATGAGAAATCAAATTGAGGCATATGCCAGTCTAAAGGGTGAACAGGTACACACACCTGGCTATTTGCTTGTCTGGATTTGTTTGACAAGGAAAAATTCACGTCTACCTCTGTTCTGTGTAGGTAGCCGCAAGGGTCACGGCAGAAAATGCCGAGAATGATGAGTGGTTTGTGGTAAAAGTAACTCATTTCGATAAAGAAACCAAAGAGTAAGTCTGAGCCGTTAACAAACCCATCAACGATAGTCGATAATTTCTTATCTTTTTATCATCCATACTTGTCAAAATACCCAGAGTCACAAAATTTTCGTCGGGTCACAATTGGGTCTGTAAAAAAGTTTCAAACTTTTTCTGACAGAGTGGAAGTACTTGATGAAGAACCAGGGGATGATGAAGAAGGGGGCGGGCAGAGGTAAGTTCTTGTGAGAACTTCAGTTGTGCATTAATATTGAAATACTTTTCCTTATTCTGTTACCGATGTCATCTATAGGAAGTACAAGTTACCGATGTCGTGTATTTTACCGTTCCCCAAACGGAATGACCCTTCTAGCACCCAAGAGTTTCCTCCCGGGAAACACGTCTTGGCTGTATATCCCGGAACAACAGCTCTCTACAAGGCAACTGTCATAAGCACCCCGAGAAAGGTCGGTTTTATTACCCTAATGCCAACCAGTCTTTACAGTTGCAGCCTTAGTAATAACTAACACCCAGATACCAAACTTGCATGTTTCAACCCGGCCTTGGCTCTCCAATTCATTTATGAATCCAGAGGAAGTCTGATGAGTAAGTACCGCCATTATCGATAATAAACAAGCATTAATCATCGAGAATTTGACTGCGTAGAAATCAGAGAACAGAATTTTACATTATCTGATGAACAGGTACTTGCTTGAATTCGACGATGATGAGGAAGATGGAGCTCTACCTCAAAGAACAGTGCCCTTCCACAAGGTGGTGGCTTTACCAGAAGGCCATCGCCAGTAACGACAATGTCTCCACGGATCACCAGTCACTGTACATAATCACCCAAAAAACCAAAAGAATATCAGAGGATTCCGTATTATAGTAATGCAGTATATACGAGATTTAACCTAGGTTTTCTGCATTGCTTATTATAATACCCTTGTATTAATATTTCGCATGTGCATAAGGCTCGGTTATCTGACTGGAAGAATGTCTCCGGGAACTTGCAGTTGGTGCATTGAGACAGGTTCTTGTGATTGTGAATGTGTATGATTCAGTTTCAGGCAAGACTTGAAGTTCTTGCCTTTGTCTCAAGTGGGGGTGAGATGAGAGTATTGGTAATAAGACTTTTGAATGTGTGTGGATCAAAAACAAAGGGAAACATATTATTTATCCACTTGCCATTTTAATGAATTCCCGCTTAGTATATTTACCTATACATGTTTATATACATATCGATTATGTCTTTTTTATTTTTTATTTTTTATAAAGGATCAAGCTCTGCTTTAAGGTATTTTGAGAAAGTATTTTAATTTACGATTCTTGGCAAATCTTTTTTAAATCCACCAAAAAGTTTAGATAATGAATAATAACCTCAAAAAAATTTAACCAGCGCTTAGAGAATTTCTTTTTTGTAGTAAATAAAAAGAAAAAAAAACCCGTATGCAGAGACTCAGAGAGACTCGGTCGTTCGAAGCTTCTGATAGAGTCGGAGGCTTTCAACCTAAAAAAAATGCTTCGAATCTCGAAGTCTCCGTAGGCCGAGCCAGCGGTCTGAAGCTCCTGCAGCGACGATGGATACTGAAGAAGAGAGCAGGAACAAGGTATCGAAGAACAAAGAAGGGACGAATCTGATTGGATCACCGACGTTCACCGAGATCGGAAATGGACGGCTGAGATGCATCGAGACCGGGCACGAGGTTGTCGCCAGAGACAAGGAGCCCTACTCGCGGAGCAAACGGTGTCGTTTGGGCCTCATCGATCACGCCTTGTCTCAGGGGAAGCCTCCCCTCAATATGTTTACGCAGCATCGACTTTCTCGGTAGGAAAAAATATCTTCCATTTTGTGGACAATAGTTAATTAATGGTTGGAATCGGTTTTACATTTGATTTGGGTTTAGGGTTTCAGCGTGAGGATCAAATCAGTGTCTCTCCATGCTGTTTTTTTCTTAATCTCACAACTAATTTTGAATCTTCGACTGCGAATGTCGAACTGGGTAGGGGTTGATGATTCGTTTTCAACATCCCGTGATTTATCTTTCACCATGTCCATTATCATATGAACAGTCACTGCTAATTGAGTAAAGGTTAAAACTTTCTTGTTTTTTTTTTGTTGATGGGTATATATCGTTCTTGCCCCTTTTTGGGTTAAAAGATGAAACCCAAAGACGAAAATTTTGATGACTTTTTGTGCAAAAAGTGAAACCTTCGTTGCTTCTGTGAGCCCAAAGATGAGGCTTTCATGTTTTTGGGATCTCCGGACCGATTAATACTGCTGAAGGAACCTTTCTTTGTAGTTTCTTTTACGTTCAATCCCGTTGATTTGATTGTGTTCTTGATGTGTTTGAGCTCATATGTTCTCGTGCATTACCCTGAGGTTCCTTGATTGTTGTTTTCTGCCGTAGTCAATTTGGTTGGTTTCCGATTCTGATTCAGGATCTAAGGCTACTTCTGGTTTTGTCTTCTGTCTGTTTTTATCAGCTCGAAGCTGGTGTGTAGACTCACAGGCGATACTGTGAACAAAAGCGAAGAACATATCTGGAAGCACATAAACGGGAGAAGGTTTCTCAACAAATTAGGTCAGTGACAGATGCCAGACTCATCATGGAATCTGTATCAGTGTTTAAACGGTCAAAATTATCACTTGCAGATCAAATGGTAAGGGGGATTGGATTAAACGAAAGGGCCGAGAAAACCAGAGGAGGTAGATCTAGAGGTGATAAGAAAGGAAAAGACGTTACTCAGATTGTATACGGAATACGAGATGAGAGCGGTAGTGATTCTGAGGGCCCCGACTTTTGGATGAGTTCTGGTTCAGAGTCGAGCGATGAAGGAATTACAACGGGTACTTTTGTATTCTCTTTTATGCCAGTTGGAACTTTGATTCTACGGTTTTGCAATCTGATCTGGGTTATGGTGATGTGTTCATTGCACCAGTTGATGGTGGTGGTGCAGGGGACGACTTTGAAGAGATTTCAGAAAGGTAAGCTTATAGCTGATTTCAGACAACAAACCCTTGATTAGCTTTTTTTCATGTTGTGTTCTGTTACTTTTTACATTGATGATGATGATGTCTTCCGGGTAATCTGCCGGCAGAACAAAGAGATTGTCGATAGAGATGGGACCGAGCAGCTTTGCTTCGAGGAAGAAAAAGGGCAGGAAGGAGACAGAGTCTTGCCCTGTCTCTGATTATTTACTACTGTAAATGAAATTAACTAACGCGTTTACAGTGTACTGTATACGACGAGCAGTTTCGGAGTGAGCGTTTTCACTTTTCACACACGTGAAAGTTTGTGTGTATCTTCTAGCTGTATCTTTAGAACAAAGCCAGTGAGTTAAAGAAAACGACGCCGTATAAAGCGCGCAAATCAATTGTACGAGGCCCATTATGTTCGTATGATATTATTTTGGGCACCCAAACGACGCCGTTTAGGGTATATACAAATATTTTTGGGCCGGTAAACGACGTCGTATTAAGTAAAGCTACACTCGCATAAGCAGAAGACCTACGTATATTGAACCGAATCATTAAAAAGTTCGGGCAGCAAAATGGCGGCTTCTTCTCTTCTTTTTATTTTCTGAAGGTTACAGATCTTTAATCATTGCACAAAAAACAAAAGACTTAAACCTGATGCTGTCCTGTCTCAAAGGATACATCCGTAACGACATGAAAGGGGCCCGAAGAAAATCAAAGCAGGTTCATTCCTCCATTGCATCGCCCACTTCTGTAACCTCCACTCTCTCCGTCAATGGCGTGATTTTCGTCTGAAGAATCTCTGTTTCCAGCCATAAAAAAAAAAACAGATCGAGCAAACACCTATAAATACATTTGCCACATTGACAACTATGAAAACAAACCCATATGCTATACAAATTCACAAAATTCTACAGACAAAGGGAAGGAGCTCACCAGTTTTCTTGGGGAATGAGTACCCTTTGCTGCTGACATATGTTCTAGGGTTGGGCAGCATGTAATTTCTGAGGTATTCCTTGTGCCCCTGTCCCTCATTTACAGTCAGATGAACCAAAATTGCTACAAGTTTTATACATACTTATTCCTTCAATTCACGTGAAATCGTAGGTTTCGAACTGAATTCCTATTAGTTTACGGTTCAAAGCAGGGTGTCTATATACCTTGGTGATCACGCAAATATCCACATTGCTTCCACTGCCAAGGTCGTTGAATATACCCGAGCATATGGCTTCAGCCACCAACTTGATTCCTTCATCTCTCTGGAGTATTTTTTACACTAGAATACATTAAAATACAGCAGAGAGACAGAAGAAGTTTGATCAGTGAAAGAACTGACGAACTTACTGTTAGACCTTCTTTGTACTTTGCCTCAAACACAGCCATAGCAGCCAGAGAGCCAGATCCCATTGTAGCAAATGGCAGAGTATCAGTCGATCCATGAGGGTATATCTACAAATCAGACAAGATGTGAGGAGATTAAGAGAAGTGACTGAATTTGTATGATAAAATCTCTTCCTGACCAACGAGGTTCCTATTAGGCTTCTAAGAGTCTATTTCAGGAGCAGCATAATGAAGCAGAGGAAGAGTAGCGGCTAAGGATTTCAGTTGGCTTACTGCCTTGGTTTGTAATTCTGTTAGTTGGTTTGCAATTCTGATTAGTTCTGTTTGTTAGTTGTGTCGGTTGTTGTAGAGGAAAGAGTATAAATAAATTGTATTAGCGAGGGGGTTTTATGCAGAATTTTAAGAAAAGGTTAGGGTTTGGTTGCAGAATGAGAGTTGGGGTCCTCTCATAAAACAAGATCATCCGAAGTTGTATTCGGGTTTCGGTGAGGAATAAAGTCTCGATTTGTGCTGGAAAATTGAGTTTCAGATTCTGAAACTTAACAGTTCCACGGGTAAATTAAAGAAAACTCACAGTGTGCAGATGAGGGCCTGTTACATCAACTCCGCCAAGCACAAGAGCAGCCGACACATAACCTTGGTAGCTAAATGGTAACATCAGTTAAAAACCGTATACATGCTCCTTATGAACCAGTACACAAGTTCCTCGAGAAGATAGGAAGGACATACCTGAACAGGTGTCTTTTCAGAAGGGTCAAAGCAGTGATGACCCTAGACTCCCGACCAGTCCGATATCTGTGCAAGCGCAACTGCGAACTCACCATATCTGAAAAAGTGGGATAGAAACCAAACCAAGTTACAAAAGAAACAGGTTCGCTGGTTTTTGTTAGCTTTTGACTGTTTTAACGGACGGGGAAAATACCGGTTACTGCTTCAGTATCAGCAGCAGTTCCTGCACCACAACAGTATATGTTTGGTGCCATGTAATGAATCTTCTCACAGTTCTTATCGGCAACTATGGGCCCCTCAGTTGCCCGGGTATCAGCCCCAAGTATCACACCATCCTGTATAAACCGGAAAACAAAAAAATCAACCACACATTTCATGTTGTCGCTACATGGGATGGACTTAAACCAAACTAGTTGTCACACACGGAGCACTACATGTTGAAAGAAATAGACTCTACACAACAAATGGCCATGAATTATTGAGCAAAAAAAAATTCAGACAAAAAACAAGGACTACCCCGAATTTTCTATGGGCTACCATCGAAAGGGCACCACAGACTGATGAAACAAATTGACATAGATGATGAAGTTCTGGCTAGAGGTTGATCTTCAAACAACAAATACTAATTTCATGTTGCAAACGAAAGCCATCATGATATGTAGGGCAATCCAACCGCTCTGGCCGCAGCACTGAAGCGGCAAAACAGCAAGGTGTCCCATTGATTGATTTGCGCCTACGCACCATTCGTGCGCCACTCAAAGAACCCTCTCTCTGTGGAATACCACGCCACCCCTAACTCAAGAGGTAAGCGCTCGGCCTTAGGCACCAACTTCTCAACAAACTAATTTACAGTAACTCAGGTTTCAACTTCTACTTTGCAAGAAAACCAAAGCATCTTAACGAGAAATTTTTAAACCCATTTCCCACTTTCGCTCAACAATAGAAAAGCTCCCATGATTGTAAAGAAAAGAGTATTCAATCTGCCTAAAGTGATATATAATATGAAACCCATTGATGCGAGACTCTCCATCTCAAGCACCGACAAATCGAAACACTAGAATCTGGGAGTCCATTTATCAGTATCGATTAAACGAGTACGTGTCGGAACGGAACAGGCCTGGAAAATCAAACCAACGATGGTTGTCCCCGTCTTCAGGAATGAAGGAGCTTTAAGACCCTTCTGAACAAGCATATCGTTCCTCCTACACAGATCAAAGCTGAAACCGCCCTTCGGCGGAACATCCACCGATGACTGCGACATTTTCCGATTTCACCAGTCTACAACAACAAAATCAGCTCCAAATCAAACAACGACCCCACAAAAATTACTAACCATCATAAGTTACTTCACAAATAAAGCTGAAAATCGATCCAATATCCGAAGGCTCAAAAAATTTACTAAAACAACACAAAAACCCTAACAAAATTGAACCGAATAATCCAGATCGAGTTGGTCGAAATCGAGAAGAAAGAACAAGGCAACAAAAAATGGAGTAAGAAAAATACCTATGTTTTTCCGGAGAGTGATTTGCCTCTGACTGAGCTCAAATCGAAGGAGAAGCAGTGCCTAGTGCCTACAAGATTTCGTCTCCCCCAATTAACCTTGTATCAGAATATGGAAAAGAGGGCCTGAAGTTAAGCAATAATCTCATTTTTGGGCCCTAGCTTCGGCATATTTGTGAATAGGCTCTCAATCAATGAAACAGCGGTTTGGTTTTAATTTAGTGCTTTTTCCACATAAATCCGGTTTGGACAAAATCCGGTACGACAAGAACCCTGATACCAAAAATATTGAATACCCATCAGAAACCCAATGTTCCAATTCAATCCAGTCTGGTACTAAAACTCGGTTCAATTTCAATATTATGAATATCCGGTTCATGAACTGTCCGGTTTACTTAAACCGAATATACGGTAACCCTCTACACCTGGTGGAAGATTACAACATCCAAGTCTCTCTTCACTTCTAACACTTTCTCAAAGTACCGGAAAACAGCTTCTTTGTAAACGGAAAACCGCCTTTTCAGATGACAGAACTACACTTTACATCAGGACATCATCGAGCATGTCAAAAAACGATAGAAAGATGTAAACTTTACGTAGGTTTTTAACAGTGAAACGCAAAATCTCGATCCTCAGGATCGATCTCAACCGTGCTTCTCTCTTCTTATGTTTTTCCCGAAGTGAAAGATCATGGAATGGATGACTGTTAGAGACAGAAGCTGAGACATGTGTTATCAAACGGAGCCAATAGGCTTCTGTTCGTTATATTTAACGATGGCTGCTGGTGGAAGCCGGCCTGTGGAGATCTCGTGGACGGTTGTGAAAAGTGGAAACAGCTCGAGCCACCCGTTATGGCTCAGAACCTCGTGGACCTCTCTCGCCGTCGAGACACCCTACAAAAGAAACAACAGAGAATTCGACCATACAAGTCAAGGCCACGACGAAAATCTGTCCAGAGAAACATCTAGTCATCTACCTCGGTTTAAGTTCTAGTCAACCATATTATCGCATTTATCGATCACTGCCCGCTGTCTTTTGGTCTTGTGAAGTTTATGCCAATTAGAATTAAATGGATAAAAGTAAGGTGAGGTTCTACCGTTCTAGTTCTACTACCTGCAATTTTTGACCTTGAAGCATCTCTGCTTCGAGTTCATCAAAAGACCTGTGATGATGACAACACCAAAAGCATTTAAAGACTATATCCAGAAGCAGTAAAACAAGATTCACTGGTTTTGGAATTGCGGTTTGACAAGTTAAAGGAAAGGTCCAACCTTTTTCCTCCATTTCGCGCAAATGCTTCAGCAACTCTTCTGTTTCTTCCTCCTACTGCCGCAATTAATCAGAAAAGAAGCTGCAGTCAGATGGTGTCGGCTTTACAATAGACCAAAAAAAAACAAAAGATAACGTCGTGTTTTTCTCTTCCTACAGCATGTTGTGATGACATCTGCGACTCCGCAGCTCTCAAAGAACGTGTTGTCTTTCACAGATGGAAACAGAAGCTTTGAGATCGCTCTCATCTCTCTCAGACCAATCCTCATGATTGCAGCCTAATTATCATTTAAAGAAGTAGAAGAATGTCAAAACGAGAAGGAGGTGAGACCACAAGGAAATAATTGCATCTCTTCCTATCTGCATTACCTTTGTGTTATTACCCATTTCCAGCCCGTCCACAAAACCCGCTGCTAAGGCCACAACATTCTTCAAGGTACCACACAACTCTACTCCTTCCACATCGTGAACCTATCGATTCAAACAAGCAATACAGTTATATTGCCCAAGATATGTAACATAGGTTTTCGGGGATATCTCCAAGACACTTACCGACGTTATCATGAAATAAGGAGCAGAAAACAACTGAACCCATGTGTCTGCAACTTCTATGCTCCCTCTATGTCCAACTGTTGCTTCACTGAACTTCCCCACGGCAATCTACATTGGTCATGGAAATGCAAGTGCAAATATCACACCAAATCACCTCTCATATACACATAAGGTCCGATTAAAAAAAGGAAATTTCAACAGGGCAACCTCGTTTGCAATGTTAGCTCCCATCAGAACACAGCAATTGATACCGAGTTGCTCGGAGATGAGACTGGAGATCATACGGGGGCCTTCCTTCTTCACCTCCATCCCTTTAACAAGAGATATTGCCTCGACATCTCCATCTATCTTTCCCCTTAGTCTCTTACATATACCATCCATGAACTGATGTGGTGTAACAAAGACCAACATGTTTGCTCCTTTCACTGAACAGCAAACCCATCATGGTAATGAACAAAAGTTATGATCTTTTTGTTTCTCAGCTCATACACTTTGGTAAATTAAGCGCTCAGAAGTTACTGACCTGCGTTTTCGAGGTCTGGATCCGCAATGACATTTCTTCCTAGTTTAATCCCAGGGAGATATTTGACGTTTTCCTGCTCAATTAACCAGGAAACCAGTTAGAAACCGAGTCAAAGGTTGTTTTTTTTTTCCTTCTTCTGGAAACTAAGAATCTGAAATCGACCAAGAACTAGATCATCTGGTTTTGTTTACATGGGCCTTGTTGATAACATCAGTAAGCTTCTCGCCATTTGGCAAAACCTCCTCAAACACCCACATCCTCACTTCATCTGAAATTTTGTATAGAAACATACTCGAAATGTCAAAACCTTAATAACTGTTTAGCCATAGAATTTCAATATAAAACTGAAAACAAAATGAAACAATTACCAATCCAAAGTTTCCTATTCAAGAGATGGAACCCAAAACCACAGGAATGATCAGAATCATTACAAGTTCACAACAGCATATTCGTCTCTGAAAACGCATAGCATATCGAAATTCAAACCACATTGTGTTTTTTAGCAGAGATGCAAATTGTAAAATTCCCAAATTGCATGAAACTTAATGCGTAATCCAAAAAAAAAAACAAAATTTCGATCGCTACCCAGAATTGCAGGAACAAATCAATGAAGCAGAAAATCATGCAATCTCGTAATAATCTCCATAGAAACCCATTGCCATTACCGTGACATGAAGGAAGCTTGAGTGCATTGGAAGCAACGAGCTTAGCAGCGACACTTCCCCAATTCCCACTCCCCACGACCGTAACCCTATATTTCGAATCGCCATTTCCGTGTTGCCGTTTCTCGAAGGCGGGAGCCATGGCGGAGGAAGCAGAGAGGGATGAGAAGCGAGAGAAGGGGCGAGGATGAGAATAAGAAGAGAAGAAACGAAGAAAACGTGAAGGGGTCGAGAAGAGTAGGAGAGAGACATGGATGTCTGGATTCGCACGAGAGACGGAGATGGAGAACACACGTCGAAAGGGACGACAACGTACGTGTGATGCCATCGATTCTGTCGCCCGCCATGCCTAGGTCGTTGGATCTCGGCGATCTACTCTATGTTCCATGATCCATCCTTCTCCGTTTTTTCCTTCTTTTTTTTCCTCATTCTCTTTTTTTTTGTCTCCCTTAGTTGAATCTTCTCCGTATCATTTTCTGATTACATATGAATAAAATCAGAAAAACGACATATGTTATATCAGTCGTCATTATTTCATGAAAACCCAAATTTCGGATAATTTAAATAGATGAATCATTCTTTGATATATATATATATATAGTCGAAATATTATCATTGACGACGTCACGTTCGTTGTCATGGAAACATCTAAAAAAATGAATTATTATATCACTAATTTTATTAGAGCGCATCATTAAATAATTAGTGAAGCCGTGTATTTATGTTACCATGTAACTCGATAAAAACAAATGTGGTAACAATCCAATTACCGTTCCGTGAAAACTTGACCGAAAAAGAAAGAAAGTAGTTAATCATTGTTAACTGTATTCTAAATTAGGGTAAAAAAAATAATTCAGTAACTGATTAGTCAAATTTGGTTTTAAAAAAATGAATACGATATATATATATATATGTGTGTGTGTGTATAGAATAACTTATTTAGAACCCTATTTTTACCAAATATATCAATCTCCCAAAACCTTAATAAATACCCGATTTCTTTCTCATTCCAGTCTCATCCTCCTCTCTTTCAATTGATTCCTCGGTGGATCCCATGACTTGAAACCCTTTGGGATTTCGAATTCATCCCTTCTATACATACATTATACAGCGCATAATAGACTTGTAACCAAAGGGGCCATCATCAATTTCAATAAAGGAAAGGGGAGAAGATCTACGTATAAACAGATCCATTCACACATATACATACATACATACATACATACATACAATGGCGTCTCGTTTCTGTATCTTGTTAGTTATCGCATTCCTTGCCATTGCCGGAGGAGCCTCCGCCGCCGATTCGTCTCCGACTCCTCCGCCGTCCGGGAGCACCGGAAAAACCAACTCCACGGCCAAGGACCCCATCGAAAGCCTCGGACCGTCGCAAGATTACCCTGACTACGAAATTCCGGTCGATTTAGCCCCCGACGGCGTCGAAGTCGTCGAGGATTCGATGCCGGTTAGCCCTTCCGCGGCCCACGACGAAGACGAAGAAGACGTAGCCGACAGCTCTAAATCATCGCAAACCACCAAAACGACGTCGTCCACGGCGGCAAAGCCAACATCGGCCTCCTCCCATCCAGCGGTAGCATCCTTCGGTGGCGCCGTGGCCGCCGCCGCCGTCGCAGGCGCTGGATGGTTTTTGTTCTGACGTCTCCCATGCAAATTGCATGCAGACGTGAACGTGTGGATCAGATTTTTTCACGTGAGAGATGGCAGTGTGTTAACGTTTGGTTGTCGGTTTGTGGTTTTAGGTGTGGTTTGACTCGATCGTGCGTTTGTGATAACTAACACGATAGATTTGAAATCGTCAGATTTTTTTTTATGGATTATGCCCAAAAAAGAAAAAGAAAAAAAAAACATTGGAGTTCCTTTTTTTTGGTTAACTTATATTGCATGGATTAAAACAGCGTTATTACAACGTTTCGGATTTGCTATCTCTACATATTGCAGACGTGGAATTAATTATGAAAACATACCAACAAAACTATAATTATAGGAAAAAACATCAAATTAAATTATACGACTGGGGGTACTCAGTCACTTTTGACGGAATGATGCTTTCGGAATTTCAAAATTTTTGGATGCATAACTTTGCGTACCATATCCCAAAATAAAAAAAAGTTATAGGTAGTTTAGTTTGTAATAAGCCTATAATAAAAAATTAATTTCTAATATTTAACAAAAAAAAAAAAAAGACGATGCATTGCATGCAGTGTGAAACTGGCTAAGGGGATTGTGTGCCGTCGGGGAAATTGGATGCGAACATCGTGCCGTTTGACTTCTGCCCACGTTTGTCTTCACTCCCCAACCCAAATGTCCGACACGAAGTCAACCCCAAGTACCCTACTTGTTATCTGTGCCCCGCTTGATTGACGGAGCATCTCTCTCTTTTTTCTTTCTTGGTCAGGCCTATTCACTTTGCTCTTTAAAAAAAAAATGCCATATATTTGCTATTTAACCTTTGAGTGGTCCTGTGGTTGGCATATGGTACAGGTCAAATTTCCAAATTCAAAGACCGAACCTATGGTTTTAGCTAATTAACGCGTCGCAGATAGAATCTCCCGTTATAAAAAAATGTCATATATGATTCATACTACTAAATTATTTCTATATATATAGTTATATTGCATTGGTACGTACCCACATGCATAAATATCGACATAAGTACGCAGACAGAGAGTGGAATTATAACTGAAACATCTCTCTCGAAATGTCTAGAGACATAACGGAAGATTGCATTAAGACATCAATCATTGCAAACAGACTTCCACCTCGACTCAACCTTTAAAAAAGCATTAATCGATCACCACATGGATCATTGTATCATGTCATAATAATCACGATGTTTTATATCTCTTGGGTATTTATCATATGTGGGCGCCGTCTGCAGGTTTTAACAACGACGGCCTCTCCGGCAGTTAAGGGCGCCGGCGGCTGTCGTCATGGGACCCACCAGGGTTGACGGCCTCGCACTTAGGCTCGAGGCCCTAGCGTATGTGGACGGTGCTCCGGCGCCGGACTGCCGGAAATATGCCCCGTTGAGAAGTAAATCTCCTTCCGATCTCCAGTTCCAATTTCTCCACTCGTTCTCGGGAGCGTCTTCATGTTTCGTCACCTGTAACGTTGAAAATAAATGATATAACATATATATGACTACTATTTTAAAATTATCTAATGATTAAATGATTTGTATAATTTTTTGCTACGTTACCTCTTTCCTGAATCTTTCATTGGGAGCGAGAAATCTGTTGCCTTGGCTGTATATTGTCGGAGAAGCGCTGCCGCCGATTGCATACATTTCCCAGTGAGTGTAGTCATTGTTCACCACATGGAAATATCCATGTCGACATCTACAAATTTCAAACATGCATAGAAATTGTAACATCCATTTATATGTCGTAATTATATGAGAAACATCGCATTTCCATCACTTTTATAAGTCTATGACGTCCAAAAATGTTCACACTATACCTTTCTATCGGTACGTTAATAGTCCAAGTTTCACATTCACGCGCGTCATGCATGCATAGACAAAACGCACGCATACACATGTGAATCATGAATGTGTGTGTGTGTATATATGCGTACTACACATACCGTGGCATTCTCTGGACCAATCCCTCGCCAAAATGGTTAAACGCAATAGTGACCTGCATGTTCTTGTCCTGCGTGAAAGTGTCACTGTGACCTAACAACATAACCTTATCATGATGCGTCATGTAATTGTTCGATATGGTTATGGCCGTCGATCCATGTATGGCATCTATGAGACCATCCTCGCAATTCGACAACGAGCAATGATCGACCCATATGTGTCGCCCTCCGAATATCGCCACCGCATCGCCGTCGGATGGGATCCACCACCCAGTGTGATGTGGACCGTCCCGGATCATGCCACCTCCCGCGCGTTTGCAGTCATGTATGTGGATGCCATGGATGATGATGTTCGATGCGTAATGTATCTTTATGCATGGCCCATCGGTTATGTGAACACTCGCTCCTCTACCTGTCGGAAATATCCACACGACACAAAATACATGTGAATTAGCTGTAACACACCGTGATAATGCATAGTATCTATACATACATATATATATATATATATATATATATACAGGATCATATGTTGTTGTAAAATAATTATTTTTATTTGGGTTGATAGAATTAAACTTTGACATTGTACCGTCCAAGGTCTTGAAAGAGGATATGATGAGTTCTTTCTTGAGCCTTATGACCATATCTCTCTTGAAAATGATCCACAACGGTTCCTCTTGCACCACTGCATATCTTAGAGTTCCGGGTCTAGGGTTAACGGGATCGTCGTCTCCGGGATCGGTCACCACGTAGATCCGACCATCTCGGCCTCCCATCGCATTTTTCCCGAAGCCGATGGCGCAGTCGGCTAACCGCTGACGATTATTCTCCCAATTAGGGTCGCACCTCCAGCAATCGTCGATAGGGTTTCCGGTTCCGCACGAAAGGTATGATAAGCTCCTCCTCGACGCATTGAATATGCTCCTATATATTCAATACAGAAAAAAAAAATGTTAACGAAGAAAATGGACCGTTGATATTTTTTTTAAAGCAAACATTTGATTAGCCGGTTACACATTATGTTTCCGATTTCAAACGACATACATAATCGATTTTTTTTGTATCCAAAGGGTTGGCTCAAAGTTCAACAAAAACCAGATATAAGTACATATAGAATACGTTTTAACAAATATTTTCAAATACCCAAAACTCTAAAGATGGTAACTTTCACATATTATATAGTTAACGAAAACGTGACGTATTTTATGTACCTCTGGACCTCGTCGACAACCAGGTCCGGGTCACGAACATGCGATAACGAGCCCGATACGGCAGAAACGACGGCGAGATGAAATAAAAATACGCAAACGAAGAAAATATTCAAAGGAGTAAACATAAACATTGTATAAAAAAAATCGAGTATTTTGGATTTTTTTTTTCGTGATTTTTGGGGGGAAAATGAAAATGTTTGGGATGGGAATCTCATAGAATGTTGAGGTACGTATATAAAGGGAAGAGAGGGCCGGGAGTGAAGGCGTGATTAATTTAATTCCGATGGTTGGATATTATACAGAAATTTGGTCCCACCATATCGTAATTTCAGGTACGGCCGTTTCGTTGGTCTTGTTGTCGTGTTAAACCGTTAATTGAGCTTAAAAGTAATTTGTCTAAAGTCAACCTTTTTGACCCATGAGAACGACGCCGTTTCCTTTGCCGTTTGTCTTTTAACCAGGTGTGCACATTATGAGTTTCGCTGTCCGAATTTATATCTGTTGGATTATATAATAATTTGTTTTTTTATTAAAATCTAAAAATTTACTGTTTCGATTTTATTTTAGTCTAAACCATTTTTTAAAATTAATTTGGTTAGTTTGTTTGAGAAAAACTTATATCCAATCGGGTTTAAACTTCGAATATTACTATATAATTTCGTATATTCCAACTGAAAAAACAACTCTAAATTACAATCATTCACAAATTACTGTTAAAAATATAAGACAGCGAGCATTTTGTCAAGTAAATTAAAATTAGTATGGAAAAATGCAACATTGGTGTGCAACCATATGAATACTGAAATGGACAATAGATACTAACTATTAACATAATATTATTAATGTGAGTATAATATTTAATATATTTATGAATATTACTTCTATCAAACTTTATATTATAATTTTAAATCCGGAAAGAGAATAGTTAATTTATGTTACTCCGTCAATTTCTTTTCATGGACAATGAAAAAGAAAAATAAATAATAATGAAATTGTATTCAAAAGTAGGCCGCTTCCCATTACTCTACTTACCACGTGAGAGCAACCTCCATTATGGTGTTTGTTGACTTATTTGTTCTCTATTCCATTATCAATGCGATATATATAAATCATAATTGTTTAAATATTTTTTTTTACGTATTAACTAAGAACCGGTTTATTGGTTTCTTTCGGTTCTGTTTATGGTTAACCGGATACAATTGACATGGGTTTTAGCCCAAAATTTAAAGGCACAGTAAGCCCATCCAAATAGGCTCAAACTAATAAAATATTGAGTTTCAAAATTAAACACAATAAAAAAATGTACATTCACGGCCTTATGATTAGGTTCAAAGGATGGGCCTTTGTTTGTCATTGGGCCTTAAAGCTACTTTCACCAATTAGATGCCGCCACGTGTCAGATTGTTCTACACAACTCTCGGTGAACACGCGCCTTCGGATTTATCCAGTGCATCTCCTCTACGGTGAGCCCACGTCGATATCCGTAACGAACGGCCAGGATTTATTTATGTTGCTTGTGGTATCTAGAATTCAAGAGATATACGGCTCTGTTGACGTAGACGAACCCTGAGCCTCTCTTTTACAACTGTGTACACGTAGATTCTTTCGTATGTGTGTATATATTTACATGTTGTATCCCTTATCGTCATTTTCCTTATTTCGTGTTTAACATTAATAATAAATTAAGTGCGTGAAATTATACAGAGAGAAATTATTTTCAGGTTTTTGTTCATCGCTCTCGTTTTCTTCGTTCTGTCCCCGAGAAAATGGCGTCCGGTTTGATCGGAAGGGTGGTTGGGGCAAAGCCGGCGAGGCTATCCGTGGCGGCGCGTCTAATTCAGTCGCGGTGGATGGCTTCGGAGACTGAGGCGCAAAAGGTCGAACCGAAGGCATCCAGCGGCGGCGGAGGGTCGAACGTGAAGACTTTCCAGATCTATCGGTGGAATCCGGATAATCCTTCGAAGCCCCAGCTTCAGGATTACCAGATCGATCTGAAGGAGTGTGGCCCGATGGTTCTCGATGCTCTGATCAAGATTAAGAACGAGATTGATCCGTCGATCACTTTCCGTCGCTCGTGCCGGGAAGGGATCTGCGGTTCGTGCGCGATGAACATCGACGGATGCAACGGTCTCGCGTGTCTCACGAAAATTCAATCTGGGCCTTCGCCGACGACCATCACCCCGTTGCCGCATATGTTCGTGATTAAGGATCTGGTTGTGGATATGACGAACTTTTACAACCAGTACAAGAGTATCGAGCCATGGTTGAAGAGGAAGAACCCACCGGAGGTTCCTGGGAAGGAGATTCTGCAGAGCAAGAAGGATAGGGCTAAGCTCGACGGGATGTACGAGTGTATCCTGTGCGCTTGCTGCAGCACATCCTGCCCCAGCTACTGGTGGAACCCGGAGTCCTACCTTGGCCCTGCAGCTTTGCTCCACGCCAATAGGTATGTCACTGAATTGCGAAACAAGGGTTTTCTAATGATTGGTGTTCTCATGTTAATCCTTTACTGAGAGTCTGATTGAATAGGGAATTGATTGCGGAAAACTAAGGGAAAAGTTGCCTCATTTCCTGAAGTTTTGCCTTTAGGATGATAGTTAGACCAGGAACGGTTGTAAGTTATGAATTATTGTTTTTGGTAACATAGAATGTGAAATTTTGATAGCTATCTATGATCCAATGAACAATTATATGGACAGAAATGGTAGAGAAGAATTAGAGAGGAAAAGGGTCTTTCCGGCTGAAAGGATGTCGATTGATTCTGAATTTTTGGTCATTTAGATAGGCCTTGCTCCTTCAAGGGAAGAAGGAGGGTTCATAACTTAGAGCATAGTCCATATATCTCTTGCCCGGACAGCTAGATTTGGAGGAACTTAGAATGTGAAACACGGTCATTAGTTAAAAAGTTCTGACCTTTCGTGTGTGCAGGTGGATAAGCGACAGCCGTGATGAGTACACTGAGGAAAGACTTGATGCCATCAATGATGAGTTCAAACTGTACCGTTGCCATACAATCTTGAACTGTGCCCGAGCTTGTCCGAAGGGATTGAATCCGGGCAAGCAGATCGCACACATCAAGCAGCTTCAGCTGTCTTAATTCATGAGAGACACATTCAGCTTGTATTGCTTTAAGCTAATAATCTGCAAGAACTGATTCATTCTTGTATTATCCGATATTAGCCCCCCCAAACTTTTTGCAAATTTCCTCCACATGACATGAATGTGCTTTGTGGCGTGTTTTGGCTGATATTTCTTGCAGCTCAGGAATAAAACTCAACTTCTTTGTTATGTCTCCTGAGCATTGTCTTTATAAAAACTCAACTTACAGTTTAGTTCTACATGAACTGGCTAGATTCATGTAACTAGACAACAATACACTCACTAGAGAATCCAGAGAGGATTTGAAACAAATGTTGGTTGTAAAATGTGTTTTATTGGCGAATAGAGAAAAATAAAGAAATGGGTTTTATGTTATATTTGCAAGTTCAACTACTCGCATATCATCAGAGATGGAGCAAGAAATGCCGTGGCTGATGGGTTGTTCCTCTGAATTTTCAGCTGTAAACGACGACGATGGCTGAACAAGCGGCGGAGATTTCCTCAGGGAACGGCCGCGAGTGATCGAATCAGAGTTCCTGATCGACTTGAGAGAGTTCCTCGGACAAGCATCGACGCCATGAATTAGCTCGTGT